CAGCGATATGAGGTCATTTCCCCCAGAGGCCAGGCATCCTGTGTGTCCTCACTGTCTCTGTCTTGGCCCATGGCTCCCGAGGAGCAGCCAGCTCTGGTCTCAGGGCAGGCGCTCCTGCAAGGTGTGGTGACTGGGCCTCCTTGTTCATGTAGTCAGCAGTGGCCTCCGTCTCCTTTGGAGGTGACTCCAACAGCGTCCTTGGGGACATGGTGGCAGCCCCTGTATCTCACAGCCAGTCCTCCAAGCTCACCCTGTCCCTCCTCACAGCCTTTCCTCTCTGGACCCCTGGCCACCCCTCCCTCACCACTAGGGTCTCCCCAGGGCAGTGGCCCTCACAGCCTTCTAGGTGGTAGTGACTTCTGAGTTTGGCTTGATGATCTCTGCTGGCCACTGACCATATCTCTGTTCCCTCTTGGACCTTCAGGACCTCTGCATCTCAGGTACCTGGGCCCAGGTCTCTCCCCGCACTGCCCCCACCCCAGCTTCTGTCCATGTCCCTGGCTGCTGTGTCTTCCCTGTGACCTTGAAACTTTGCCCTTGACCTCTTACTTTGCCCTTACCCTTTGCTGGTTTGGGGGTGCACTGCCTGAGGTGTGGGCTCTTCCTCCCCAGCCTCCTGCTCCTTTCGTGCTACTCTCCATGGGGTTCAGGCTTCAGAGCTGTGTCTCTTTCTTGGTGGCCTTTCTCTTCCTGCCCTGGGCACCTGCTCAATGCTGTTCTCTGCCCAAATCAATGCTGTTCCCTGCTATTCAGACCCTAACACACTCCAGTTGGGAAGCTGTGAGCAGAGGCCCAGGCAGAGATGGAGAAGGGTTACCCCTTGTACCCTGCCACACAACCTGCCCTGCACCTGTGCCTGAGAGTCACAGGCAAGCCACGATACTTATCAAAGGTGTATTTTGTACCAGGCACATGTCCTTGGCACTTCCTCTGGCTTCTTCCTGAAACAGAAGATGTCATTGTCATAGATGTGGGACCATATGTGTGGAGGGTGCTGGCCTTGGATTCAAGAGAAGTGTTCCCAGAAACCCAGAGAATGCAGCCCCTCACTGTGCTGGGGTTAAGGTAGGGAGAGGAGATCAGCAAATGTGCCTTACAGGAGATGGCTTGAGGCTTTGAAGCTTAGGTAGGAGTTCACCAGAGGTGAACATTGGAGGAGGGTTTTCCTGGTGGAGTGAGTAGGTGGAAGAGTGATGCTGGGTGGGTGGGGGGCTGTGTGCTGGTTACCTCCATGTCCTGCAGTCTTGTGGAGGCCAACAGATGTGCAGGACACTGGGCCCTGGTCCTGACCATTCCAGAGCTGCCCTTCCTGTTGGTCGGGGAGGTGGCCCTGTGGTCCTGTCCTCAGCTCAAGTCCCTTGCTGTGGCTTGTGTCTTGTGTGTCACAGTGGCGCTAGTGACAGGTGGTAGAGACTCTTGAGAGGTGTGGCCTGAGGGGAGGTCTAGTGGTCACGGGGGTGGCCCTCAAAGGGGCAGCTGCACTCCTCCCCTTCCTCTCTTTGGACCTGCTATGTGTTACGGTCAGCTGCACACACTTCTCCAGGAGGCATCGCTTTACCACTATTCTAGGGCACCAGGGCCACCTCACCGGGGACCAGAGCCTCCTCTCAGCGAGCCAGGGGAAGCCTGAGTCTAAGCAGATCATCGCAGTGTCAGTCACCGTGACATGCGTCTGACAGGAGCCCTGTCACTGCCACGCAGGGAGGCCCGAGGCAGGACGCACACCCCAGCAGCACTAATCCCGGGTGCTGTGCAAAGGCAGCACTTTCAGCTTTCCCGTCTCCCCAGGGTGCCCTCTGTCACCTCCAGTCCTATGGGTGCCCGCTTGGAGCACCTGTGAAGGATGAAAAAAAAGATTTAGCGCAAAGACACCCAGGTGTGTATGCATACGTGTGTATTATAGAAATGCATTGTGCATGTGTTCACGTGTGTCCATGCATGTGTCAGCATGCAAGAAATATTGGTGTGCAAGTTTACATGCATGTGTGTGAATGGATAAATGTGTTCCATGTGTCTGCTCACATTAATACCTTAAGTTATAACAACTGGGTGCCTGTCACATCTGTGTTGCGATAGCTGTGACAGTGTAAGCTCTCTAGGGGCTCAGAAGTACCAGGTGAGTACCAGACGTACCTGGAACGGTCCTATGACGTGGCCACCGTGTGAGGGGTGAAGAAGCTGAGGCTCAGGGAGGTGCAGGTCTGATCCTGCAGGGGTTCCAGCTGGGCCTCTGTCTGGCCTTCATGGCTCCAGAGTCTATGGGCATCTGTCCACCCCTCCCAGCCTCAGTGTGGGAAGAGGGTCCATGGCTTGGCTGCCCCCTCCTCCATGCAGCCTCAGATCATACCTGACCTCTTGTGGATGTCCTGCTCACAGTTGTCCCCCAGCTCCTGAGGAGTCCTGAGGGATCATGGGCAAGGCTGGGGTCACTGGCTTCCCATTGGCACTTGAGGCTGCTGGTTGGCACATGGTGGGGGGTCAATGTGGACCTCAAAGAGTGGCACTTGCCGGCTCAGGGTCCTCAGGGCATAGCTGTGGCATGCTGGCCTCTCCAAGCTCGAGGTTCCACATCTGTAACTTGAGGGTCAGGTGGTGGCTGTCTCTTCAGGCAGATGGTATGTGCAGACCCCTGACTTGGTGCCTGGCACACAGTGGGGCCTCTGTTGTCGCCTGCTTCGGGAGATGGGAATTACCATTCTGTTTTCCAGGACAGTGCCCCTGGCAGCAGCCCTCTTGGGCAGTTGGAACACTGTTTAAATGAACAAAGTTCAGTTTACATTCTGGGACGGCTGTGCTCGGGCAGCACTTGGCCGAGAGCACTGTGTGGGGAGTCCAGAGCCCCAGACTTGAGTCCCCAGGAGACCTAGGTCCAGTGTCTTCCCCTGCTGGAGTGTGCGCCTCCTCACCTGGGCGTGGTTCTGACCACGTTGCGGGGCTGGCTGTGGAGGGCACCACCCAGGGCAGGACGCAGGCGGCTGTTTACCCGATTCTGCGTGGAGGGCTTGACCTCGGGCCATTCCCCCTGGCTGGCCCTGCTGCAGGCCTCCTCCAGCCGGCCTGGCCGCACTGACTCACAGCTTTGCTATGTGTCCCCCGAGCACTCCCATTCCGCAGCCCTTGCCTTGTGGCAGGCTCTCCGTGTGGGCAGCAAGCGGGCAGTGCTCTGTACCTGGGGGAAGCAGTCGAGTGCCCTGAGCAGCATCTGTCACCCTGTCCCCGTGGCTTTTGGTGGTGAGGACAACACGTTCCTCCCCTAGTCAGTTTCCTAGGGAAACGCTTTGATCCCGTTCAGACCCACGGAGGGCAGGGGAACCTGATCGCTGCCTGACCACTCCTGTCGCTCAGGGACCTGGGCACACAGAATGTACTGCCTGCAAGAGACGAGGTAGACTCGGTAGTTTGCAGAAGTGGCGCTTAAGGGTTCTGCTCGCCAGCGGAATCTTGTGCGCACCCCAGTGCAGCCGATCAGGGCCACTTGCATGGCGCCTGGTTCATTCTGCTGCTATCGGGCTGAACTGGCTTCTCTGCCTGCAGTGCTGGGCCTCGGCATCTTCCCACTCATGCGGAGCTGCAGGATTCACTACAGTCCTCCAGGGGAACCCCACACCGACCTTCTGCACCCTGCTGTAGCCCAGGGTTACGCCCGTTTGGAATCTGGACCTGGGTTTCATGACCCACATTCTCCAGCGGTTCCACTTCACCTCAGAGTTGTTTGGCACAGTTGCCCTGTGCGAGGTCAGGGACCCAGGATGTCCACTGTGTTCTGCACCCCATGGGTGAGCATGCGTGGTGTACACAAGACACCCTCAAACCCTTTGTTAGATGAGTTGGTGTATCAAGGATCCTTGGCCTCCTCCTGCATCTCCTCCCACATAAGCCGGCCCCCCTCAACCCCCCTGGCTGCCCCTCCTGCCGCTCATCTGCCCTGGCCTCTCAGTTCCTCTCTAGGACTCCTGGGACCCTGGCCTCACCTCTGCTTCCTGCATCGCTACAGGGGCAGGAGGAGGCGCTGCTGTGTTCCGGTTGGTGCTTGGTTTTAGGAACCCAGGCTCAGCTGGAAGCCAGGTGGTGGGGGGCAGAGGATTGAGGGGGAGGTGCCCTTCACCATGACCTTGCCTCAGCCCAGGTGTGACTCTCAGGCGCCCTTGCTCTCCTGTCTTGCGACTTGAGGCCAATTCCTTCATCCCTTGGGCCCTGTGAGGTTATCCGTGGAGGCTCACAAGACGGGACAGCGTGGCAGGAGCTGCAGTCGCTCCTGCAGCCCCAGGGGCCCCTCCGTTTCTCTGGAGCAGCCCTGCCCAATACACATATATTGCAAATCACGTAGGGAATTTAACAATTTTTGAGCAGCCATGTTAAAAAAAGTAAGGAGCAGTGGGAAAGACGGATTTTAATATTTCATTCTACTCAGTCTCCCCAAGAGATACACAGAGTGTGATCAGTATAAGGGGATCAACGAGATGGTCAGTGTTCTCGGTGTGCGCGGGCTCAGAGTCCAGTGCGCGTGCGCACCGTTGGAGCGTGTCACTTTCTCCCACATCAAGGGTTGAACTCTTCTTCTTCCTGGAGCCGTGGAGGTGGAAACTCTCTCTCTTCAGGGTTGTTTTTTTTTAAATTTTAAAGAGATTAAAAAAAAAACAAAACAATGCAAAGCAAAATAATAGAACCGATATAGGATTCTGAAACAAACTTATAGGGAATTAACTATATCTTTATATTGTACATCGTTATCTTCAAGACAGTTGCTTAAATTGCAAGATTCAGGCATGCATGATACAGATCGAGCAATACAAGCAATCCCAGTTTCTCTCCCTGAACTAATAGGATCAATAGTACAACTCTCTTAAACTATCTTGTACATGTATGTATATATACATATATAGTATATATGTAAATATATATATTTATATTCGTATATGTGTATTTTTGCCCTCTCTTCTTTTCTCTTTTTCCCCATCCCACTATCCCAGTTGTTCTTTCCTTTTAAGCAGTTTCATTTCCTTCCACAATGTCTGTGGTACCTTTTAAACCGTATCTAATCTTTCAGTTTCTCACATGAAGGAGACAATGTGATATTTACACATGTGAGTCTGATTTATCTCACTTAGGACTATGTTCTCAAGTTGTATCTATTTACCTACAAAACAAAGTTTATCCTTCTTTCTAGCTGAGTAATACTTCATTGTATAAAAATACCACCTCTTTTTTATCCATTCCTCAGTTGATGGGCATTTATGTTGTTTCCAAGATCTGGCTATTGCAAATTGTGCTGCTATATGTGCATCAGTGAGAACCAGGTGAGATGCTGCACATGGCCATGACTGTCCACCGTGACACAACGTTCTCTGGGACCACTGCCCATGGGAAAGAGCCATAGGTACACATATATCACTGTGGTATTATGATTTTAATTTTTCTGGGAAGATGCCCAGAAAGGGAATAGCTGCATCAAATGGGACCTCTAATTCTAGTTTTCTGGGGAATCTCCACACTGAATTCCATAGTGGTTTCACCAGTCTACATTCCCACCAACAGTGGAGAAGGGCTCCTTTTTCCCCACAGCCCCTCCAGCATGTTATTGATTGATTTCTTGATGACAGCCATGCTTTCTGGAGTGAGATGGAATCTCAGTGTAGTTTTAACTTGCATTTCTCGAATGACCAGTGATGTTGAACACTTTTTAGTGTATTTATTTGCCTTTTGTACGAAGTGTGTATTCATCTCAGATGCCCATTTTTGACGGTTTCAGTTTTTAAATGTAAACTAATTAAGCTGAAATATATCTTAAAGACACATCCTCTGGACCCCAGGGTCACAATATCAAGTGCTCAAGGCCACACATAGCTGGGGACTTCTGTATTGGATGGCGCCGGTCCAGACAATGTGTGACCGTCCTCACTTATTAGATCAGCTGGCTAAGTTCCCTCCCCTGTGGCCTGTGGCCTTGGGTTCATTTGAAACACTCACACAGCACTTGCTGGAGGCCGAGTCCTCCTGCTGTTCATAGGCATGCAGAGGACACTGGGGCCATGAGATGGGGCCTCTGGGCTTTTGGGGAGCAGACAGGTGAGGGGCTGTAGTTATGTCCCTTGCATTCTCTGAAGCTGCACTGGTATGCTGGACAGGGCATAGCTGAGTGGGGATAGGTCCGTGGGTTGCTCATGTTTCTTCTCTAAGCCTCCTCAAGTCCCCTGCAGCTGTCACCTCTTTGTCTGGCACGATTGCATACACTACCCCTTTCCTTGAGGTGCAGACACATGAAGCATTGCCTGGCAGACAGATGGTGCTCCTGAGTGGCTCGGGGCACAGACAGAGCATGGGCTCTCTAGGCCGAGTTGCCACATATTGCCTCTTCTCATTGGCCACAGGGTCCTAGCTCTGACTGCTTTCAGGGGACCACACTATTTGGGGGTTCGGTGCCCCACTCCAGGGTAACTGATAATAGCTCCGAGAAGCAGGTGCTGCCCTGCGCCCACTCTGTGGATGGCACCCTGGCTTCTCTTCCCGAGAGCTGCTGAGCCGAGGTGCTCCATGCCTGGGTTCTAGTCTCGGCTCTGCATCTTCCCAGTCCCAGCCAAATTTTCCCAACTGTCCTATGAGTAGATTGAACCCTCTGGTGGCCTAGTGTCTCCTACCTGTCAGAGACACAGTATCTGCCATCTAAATGATTTTGCTTTGGGGATGGCGTTGAGAGAGGGCTAAGTTGATGCGGGGAGGGAGAACTACTTTGAACTGCCTGGTTCAGGCCTTCCTGCAGCCCATCCCTAATGAGAGGAGGAGAGGGGGAAGAGGAGGAGAAGGTAAGGCCTGTACAGCCCCCAGAGGCTGGGCCAGGATGCCCTCCGGGGTGACCGGGACACTGGGAGAAGCCAGCTCTGCATCTTGGCACTTAGGCCTCGCAGCTGCTAGGGGCTGGCTGCCTGCAGTCCGTGGACTGGCATGGAGGTGGCCCGCGGCTGGGACAGGTGGGGGTATGTGGAGGGGCATCCATCACTGCCAGTAGCTCACGCCGGCCCTGCCAAGTGGTGGTGGAACTGGGCCCAGGTGTCAGTGTGCCTGCTAACTGGATTGCTATTTGAAAAATTGCAGCAGGGTCAAGAAAGTCTAACCTCCACCTTTATATCAGGAGTCTGGAGCCCGGCGGGTGTTGGCCAGAGCAGGGCTGTTTGTGTAGGGCGGCCAGTGGGAAGGTGCCCTGGACGGGACAGATTGCAGCAAAGGACGTGATCTGCCCAGTGTGGGGAGAAGGGAGCAGCACAGGTCAGGGGACAGAGAACGTGCAGCTGGCTCCAGCATGGGAGGGTTAACTGGTGCCTGCTGAGTGCCAGGCAATAGTGCCAGGTGCCAGGGGGTGCAGAGATAGAGGTGGCGTCTCCAGGACGCATAGCACAGCAAAGGACAGGACAGTACCTTGGGAACCAAGGTACTTTTATGGTCTCACTATGATTTGTTCTTTTAAAATCGGAAGACAAAAATAGACTTTCATGTTGAATTTTTTCTATTATGATTAAATAGTGTTTGCACAAAACTCACGTGCTCTCAGCATGAGACTTGGTGGAGAGTGGGGTTTCTTGTGGTTGTAAGCAGAGGGGAGCTCACACTGCAGCTTGGTGAGCTGAAAGAGACACTCAGAGACACAGGACCCAATTGTGTGACATTCGAGGAAAGGGTAGTGTGATGTAGCCACTGGCCAAAGACACCACAGCCCCCAGAAGGTGGAAGAGGCAGGAAGGAGCCTCCTCTGCACCCATGGAAGAAATCAGCCTGCTGACACCTTGAATTTGGACTTTGGCCCCCAGAACTGTGGCAGAATAAATTTCAATTGTTTTAACTCACTTGGGTCATGGCTGTGAATTATGGTGCCTTGTCAGGACGCAGGAGAATACGTAATCTTAATTGGCCTCTATTCTAGAACCCAGTTGCAAGGTCTACATTCTATCACTGTTATTATTAATTTTTTTAGTGGAAGTGGGAACTCTGGAAAGCAGAGGAGCCCAGGACCCAGGAAAGTCTTCCTGGGAGGTGACACGATCTCCGTTGTCTAGTTCAGCTTTGGCACTGGACCAGGCTGGGCCATGCTGGGTGATGGGGTTGGGAGGGTGTCCTGGGCAGATGGAGCTCTGACCCCTGTAGAGGTGAGGTATAGGGAAATATGGGGGCCCTTTGGGTCAGAGTCTTGGTTCTGGTTCTGGTCCTGCCATTTCCTAGCTGTGTCATCTTGAGAGGAGATGTGACCTTGTAAGTCCTCTGTGGCCTGATCTGCTAAAGTGAGGGCCCCTATTTTAGGGGGTACCCCTGAGAATCTAGGGAAAAAGTACTGTGTGCCCTGGTGGGAGCAAAGTCTCTGCAGAACTTGGTCAAAGCTGGGGACTCAGTGCCTCGTCTACAATGCATTTGTCACCTATCGATACTTAGTGACTTCCTCTGTGGGCCAAAGATGGCCCCACGGCTGTCAGAGGGCACCAGAGCATCGTAAACAAGGATGCTACAGCCTTCCAGAGTTTTTCATCCAACCAGGGTTCAAAGAGCTGAGCTCTTTGTGTCATTATGGGTCTGAGGGACCATCCTGGCCAGGGACCCAGGGGTGCCTGAGGGTCTTGTCCCTGCAGTAAGCCAGTACTCTGCCGTCCTTCACAGGCCCAGGGGGCCACTCCAGCCTCTGCCACCCCGAAACCCTTACCTTTCAGGGTATCTGGACATGGGGGCCACTTTTGACCAAAGGCCCTCAACTGGCCAGCAGTGGAGTCAGGGTGGGTAGCAGGGCAGAGGCTTTCCCTGCATGAGCTGGGCGAGGCCTGGCCTTGTCCTGGCTGCCCAGGGGTGGCCCACAAAGGCTTCGAGACTGGGACTTCTGATGAGCCATCGAGTTTCAGCACTGGTTGCTCTGATCTCCACAGGAGATGTCCAACTCTAGCGCCACCTACTTACAGGTGGAGACTGTCCCCCCTTCCAGGGACAGGTGCCACATGGCACGCTGAGGCAGCCAGGGCTGCATCTGAGTACTGTGCACATGTCACCCCAGCTAGACTCCTGGGAGGGCCTGAAGGATAGACAGGATTGCAACCCTTCCCTTGTGGAAGAGGGAAGGAGGCACAGGGTGGCTGAGACTCTTGCTTCTGGCCAGCTTGTGGCTGGCCTGGGAGAGACTCAGGAGGGAACGCTTTCCTCCCCAGGAGTCCCGAGGGCTGGAAGCAGCCCTGCATTCCTGCCTGTAGGTGGGGCCCTGTTCACAGGTTGCTCCCGGGCTGCATCCCCTTGAAGGGCTCTGTGCTTGTTTTCTGACTCCAAACTGGCATCTCTGCAAGAGTCCTTGGCCAGTGCAGAGGGGAATGGGGTGTAAGGCCCAGTCCCCCAAACTCAGCCCCTTCCTGCAGAAGCCTTCAGGCTGTGGAATGCAGTGTAGACTCAGCTTGGGAGCAACCCTTTTCCCTGCAGCAGGCGGAATCCAACTGGGCAGGCCTGGATGTACCATGAGTCCTCTACCCTGTCCCCTCCAGCCCACTGCCTAATGAAGGAAGGACTCTGTCCTCCATCACTGTACCAAAGGTTCCCCAGGGTGGCTCTATGGAGGATCCCTGGAGAGGTGTTTGCTCTCGTGGGCCTAAGTGACCTTGGGCCAGAGGCAAGTGAGTGCTGACAAGTGAGACCTGGTACTCTGTAGAATCTCCGCGCTCCTGTGATCTCTAGCTGGTCAGTTCCCCAGGCCTTGGTTCACTCCCTGGAAAATGGGCCGAAGGGGTGGTTGATTTGGTGACCCCTATGGTGTCCCCTAGGAGTCACAGCAGAGTGAGGGTCCTGATTTCACCACAGCATTGCTGGGTAACACTGGTCACCTGGCATCTCTAGGCTTCAGGTTGCTCGTCTGTGAAATGGAGAGAACACAAGGCCCACTGGCCACCAGACTACAGGGACACAACCACCAGCCACTTAGCATATGTCTGACACATGGAATGCCCTGTCCCTGAGCCTCCAACTTGATTACTTTCAATGATGAGGATGATTATTTGGGGGGGGGTACTTATTGAGCTATAAACAACCTGCCCCTCCCCCTACAAACTGCAGATCGGTGCTCTGTGCTCATGGTCTTGCCTTTTCTAGAATGTTCTGTAAAGGAACCATGCAAGTGTGACTGACTCCCGTCATTTCCCACAATGCACTGGGTTCTGTCCTGTTGTTTTGCATGTCTGCAACTCGCTCCTTTTTGTGGCTCACTATGCTTGACAATTGCAAGGATGCTGGGGCATCTGAGTGCCATCCACCAGTTCCTGGACAGTCCAGTTGCCTCCTATGAATACAGCTGCTGTGAATGTTTGCATCCGGGTCTTTGTGTGGATGTAGGTTTTCATTTCTCCTGGTACCCAGTAGCAGGGGACTGTTGCTGGATTGTAGGTTAAGTGTATATTAAGTGAAGTAACTGCTAGCCCCTTTGCCAAAGGGACCGCACCATTTTGCGTTTTGAGCAGCCACGTCTGAGTGTCCGTTGTTTCACGCCTTTGCTCACACTTGCTACTGGGAACTTAAAATCTTAGCCACCTTAATACGTGTGTAGCGGTTTTTATTTGCATTTGCCTGGGGTCTGATAACCTTCAACATCTTTCCATTTGCTGCTCTTGCCGTCAAATTGGGTTTATCTTGCTGAGTTGTAAGAGCTCTTTCTGCATTCTGGATGTATTTACCAGGTATGTATTTCAGCCATATTTTCTCCTAGGACATGGGTTTTCTTTTCATTTTTTAAACAGTGTCTTTGTTTCAGTTTGATGGGCCACATTGATAATTTTTATACTTTTTTGACTCCTAAGAGCACTTTGCCTAACCCAAAGTCACAGAATTTCTCCTTGTGGCTTTTTTTTTTTTTTTTTTTTTTTTTTTTTTTTTGCCTTTGGGTTGTAGGTCTTGCTCTAAAGGTTAATGACCTACTCTAGGTTGGTTCTGTCCATAGTGCCCAGGGTGACCTTACCTGGCCCAGCCAGCTGGCCAGGTCTATCTTGTCATGGCCACCTCTGTCCACCTGGCAGCTGTTGGCTGAGTCTCCTGTGCCAGCTGTAACCATTGCAAGTACCACCATTGGGCCACTCTGGGAATGTGGTGCTGGATTCAGCTCATCCTGTCCTGTTTGTCCTCAGATCTAAGGGTGGCCTTGTCTGGTGGAAGCCTAGGCAGGGTCCTACCTGCTTACTGGATGTGATTACCAGGTGATGACCTTTGCCTTCCTTCTTTCCCGGCTAGCTGCTGCCTCTGTGGGCTGCAGGACATTTCCCCTTTACTTCCTGTGTCCAAGCTGGTACACCTGTCCTATCAGTGCCCACCCCTGGACCTATTACCAGACTTACTGCTTCTCTCCCCCAGTGGGTCACGGGCCCCATTTTTGGGGAAACTGAGTTTGCAAGAGATCCAGTTGTGATGTGAGGTTGAACATACGTCGTGAGTAGCAGACCCTGGAACCCATTTGGAACTTTAGGGTCCCTGTAATCCCCCATGCTCGGGTGCATTTCTAGGACAGCCCTCTGCTTGTTGAGCTGCATAAATCTGTGTGCATGGGGAGCATGGACTGACCGACCCAGTGATGGTCAGTGTAAGGTTACTTCAGGGTAAGGTTACTTCTGCCCTCCTGCCTACTCACTGCCAATTTCTTGAGGATTTGTCTTCTCCTTTACCAGAGACTTGGTACTTGCTGGTATAAAATACTGGGCAGCCCAGCTGACCCCATGCACTTCAGGTGAAACTGTCCCAGGGTAACTTGGAGTCCAGAATGGATTGGGGGCAGCAGCTGGCTGTGACCTTTGCCAGCTGTGACCATCCCAGATAGAGCCCACAGGGCTGGTTGTCCCATGTCTCTGCCATGGATCCCTGCTATGGCAAGGGCTTTGTTGCTGATGAAGGTCATGTTTGCCTGGGCACAGTGTGGCCCGTATGCACGGACCATCATAGGCTCTATGTCTGATGCAGGTGATCATGGCTCCTTTGGGCTGCAGTCAGGGAGATGGCACTTGTCCTGTGCTTCAGTGTCCCCAACCCCCAGTAATGGTGGGTTCTCATTCTTTCCAGATAGAGGACTTTGCTGATGACCCTCAGTTTTGTTCTCTTTGTGCAGTTCCTTTGGTTGCTGAAATAACTTTACCAGAGCCTCACCCCTCACCTGTCTCAGTGGCCCAGGGAGGAAGCCAGTAGGATCCTGTCCCCTCTGGCGGGACTGCAGAGGTCCTCAGAGGCCACAGGAGTGGACACCACACCATGGGATACATCAAGTTTAATGAACACAGCCCAAGGCAGGGTAAACCCATGGCCAGACAGCCAGCATGGGGTTTCAAGTAGTGGAGGGAATGAAGACAGGCTTGACCTCAGATTCAAGAAGGAGACTTCTAGAAAAACAGGGGCAGTCTACTGGTTAAGGGGGAGCATATCAGGTATCTCTGACTGCATAACCAGTAGCCCCATCAATGGCTTAGGACAATGAGAAACAGCCCATAGCACCGTGGCTGTGGGGCAGGATGTTAGCAGTAGCTGAGCTCATCTGACCTGGCTCTTGGTCTTGCACGGGATGGGGTTCAGGGTGTTGGCCAGCTGCACCCTCAGGCTGCCTGGGATCCAGACCTACCTCCAAGGTAGCTGCCCCTATGTCGGGTCTTGATTGTGCGTGTTTGTCTCAGTCCCTCCCACACGAACTTTGCACAGGGTTGCCTGGTCTTTTGTAACCTAGCTTCCAAAAGCACACATGAGCTGGGGTGGTGGCGCACGCCTGTAATCCCAGCACTTGGGAAGCTGAGGCAGGAGGATCGTTATGAGTTTGAGATCAGCCTGGGCTACAAAGTGAGCTCAAGTTCAGCCTGAACTACAATAGTGAGATCCTGTCTCAAACCACACACACACACACACACACACACACACACTCACACACACACACACTCATACACACACACATGCGCACACACACACACACACACACACACACACACACACACCTAAAACGAAAGCACACATAGCCATAGCTACACAGTCCTGCCTGTTCTGGGGGAGGGGATCATATGAGTGCATGGAAGGTTCTAGAGGTGAGGATTGTCACAGCTGGTGCCAACCAGGAAGGAGGAGACTCCAGGGAGCCAGGAGAGCCGTCTGATTTGAAAGAGTGGGATGCAGGGTATGAAAGGAACAGATAAAGGGTGATGAGGAGCAGAGACGGCGCTGGTGAGTGACCCAACCTCTCTGAGCCTTCACCCTCTGTCTGCAGGATGGAGAGGGCAGCGATGCCAGATGGGGTGATGGGAAGCCCCGATGTGGGGGTGTGATAAGGAGCGTCCCAGGGGCCCTGCTAGATGGAGAGTGTGCAGGGACACCTGGCAGGTCTGGAGGGTGGAAATGTGTGTGCATGTGTGTGTGTGTGGGGGTGTGTGTGAGACAGGAGTGGCCTGTGGCTGTGTTGTCAGGAAGATGTTGAGGTAGGGCAGGAAGAGACTCCGGCATCCAGTGCCCCACACGAGAGCAGGAGGGGAGGAGAGGTGCTGTGGCCCTGAGCAGCAGTGTACACATGGGCACCCTTGGCCTGGGCAACTCTGGGATACCCCAGGTCTCACAAGCCTCCCAGCAGGAGGGGCCTGATACCTATCCTGGACAGCGGGTCTCCGTGCGGAGTGGGCAGCTACTCAAGGGACTGGATCCCAGGGGATGGCGCGAGTATTGTGCCACCCCTCACCCAGCAGCCCGACTCTCAGCCTCAGCCTCTGTCCCCACCAGTGTGTTCTCTTGGTGAGGCACCTCCAGCTCCTCCCGTGACTTTGTAGCCACCTCAGACCGTGCTGGGCCTGGGACCTCCCTGGCACTCCTCTGGCTCCCACTGCCCTGTGGGGCTTGGAGCCCCTGCAGGTCCCAGCATTCACCTGGCAGGAAGGACCACGGCCTCCATAGGGAGCTTTCTTGAACTATCTTAATCCCTGTTTCCTTTCCTTCCCAGGTGCTCCCCTCCTGCTCCCGAAACAGAATTCGGTGCTCCAGAAAGCCAGGGCACCTTAGGAGCTGGAAGACTGCTCTATGGCCGCACAGGCTCACTCCTGCTTGACGGAGAATGTCCCCACGGCTTATGCAACACAGCTTGGCCAGGGTGTTACCATTGTCCTGTGCTCCTGGCTGCAGAAAAGGACATTAGAGGGTGGATTTCCTTGGAAACACTAGACGGAGCCTGGCTCCCAGTGTGACACCAGCTTACCTGGGTAGGACGGGGTGGGCAGGTGGGCGGGGTGCTCAGCTGGGGCAAGGGTTGGCGTAGGGAGGCCGAGGAGAAGCAGAAATTCCTCCTGGCTGCCCTCCACCCTGGATATGGCCAGACTCCCAAATGCAAGATGGGACCAAAGCGACTGGTACCCACCTGTCATGCTGCACAGCCGTGGGCAGTGGGTACTTTCCGGGGGAAAGGGACTAGGGGATGTCAGGGCTGGCCACGAGGTCTGGGTGTCTTGCTTACACACAGGGGTCAAAGCCAAGGACAGGAGCTTCTTGTGGGCACAGAGTAGCCCAAGCCGCAGCCCTCAGGCTGTGGGGCTGAGCACAGGCAGGATGGAGCCTGCGGGCTGCATTGGGCTCTGTCAGCGTCATGTGAGGTGGACAGGTGCTTCTGAAGAGCAGTTCACGAGAAACTCTTAAAAGCAACTTTAAAAAGGAAAGTTTGGCGAAGAGAAGCCAGTGGCTTGAAGAAAGCCACTTTTCCCACCCTGACTCGGGTTCAGATGTCAGAGCTCAGCACCCGGTCCAAGTCCCTGACCCTCTTTTGCTACAGTTTGTGACAAAACAAAACCCTGTCCCTTAGGAATAAATGTGGAGCCATTTCACGTGAGGGGGTGAGGCTGCACTGCGGGTTACTCACCTCCTCATTTCCTGAAAGAACCTTCAAGGAGGTATTAGAAACGCACCCGGTGAAGCTTCCTCAGCTCCCAGCTGCCGCAGAATCCAGGGCCGTGGCGACCCTGTTCTGGCTAAAGGAATGTTCAGCTAAAGTCCAAGGGTCTGCTCTGAGAGCCTTGCTTTCCTAATACAGGTATCGCCTCCCCTCCTGGGCTCTGTGTTGATTTTTCTCTTGGAGCTGAGGTTGAGGTCTGGAGTCCATACTGAGCCATAAGAATGCATCTGTGAACTCAAAAAGATGAAACGCTTTGACACTGAAAGCGACAGGAAAATACTGCCCCATTGTTAGCTGAGAAAACTAAAAACCACATGATGAAGTCTTTGAAGGGGATTCAGATACCTCCAAACTGATGCATTCGGTGTTTGGCATGTATAGATGCTCAATAAAAGCTAACCATACTCACTTTTTTTTGGCAAGCTTCTGCGGTGCGACAGGAATGCTGCTTGCCATAACATGTCCAGGAAGGGAGTGACTGGTTCTCAAACCTAGAACCCTGGGCATTCAGGCCAGTGTACTGTCCAGTGTTTCCTGGCCTGAGACAGGGCATGAATCTGGTGACCATGGTTCTAGGACCAGGAGGTTCTGTGCATGGGCTCAGGTACCTGATGATCTCATTCCCTTAGCAACTATCACTGAGCATCTGGATACCAGCTCAGGGCAGGCCTGTCCCTGCCCTTGGGGAACTTAAGAGTGTGTGTGGAGATAATGACAGATGGATGCAGAAGGAAATGTGGCCCATTGTGGTTGTTCAGTAGGTACAAAGTCACCACAGACACTGGGTTAAGAAAGATGAACAGAAGTATAGGGAAGGTTCCCATGGGCCTCTGGCTATGACATTTTTATCAGGTGACATCGTATCAGCACAAAGCCCTGTCTATGTGTGTTCCCATTTAAAGACACTTTATTCAGGTTTGTTAACATTGAAGTTATGGCCACGGCATTGTCCCTCACACCGGTGTGAAGGTCGCCCCCCACATGTGCTTCCTCCACAAGGCACAGCAGGTCCTCCTGCCCTTCAGAGCATGAGCAGCATCAGCACATCAGTGCTGGGCTCAGGGCCACTTTAAGTGCAAAATCACCAACAGAAAGCACAGAAATATGGAAAATAGGACACTGACTAGATGCAGAAAGACTCCCTGGGGGACGAGGGAAGAGGGCAATGAGCAGGGTTTGAGAACCCAGTATAGGGGCTGTGAGTGTGGGTTCTGTACTGAGGTGACCATGGGGTTGGGTGCACCCACAGCTTGAGTCTCATCTGACCCTGGCTAAGGTCCTCTTCTAGCACCATAATATGGAGGACAAAGCCACAGTTGATATAGTTGTATTCGTCCTAGAGGAATAGAACACAGCTAGGCTCATGGAATCAGAGAGTCTGCAAGGTCACCTGCATCCCAGAGAGCTGGAGGATCCAGTAGCTGCTCAGTCTGAGAAGTTGGAAGCTGCAGCAGTCTGAGGCTGAAGGCCTGGAAGCTCCCCGCAGGGCTCATGTGGAATGGTCAAAGAAGCTGGAATCTGATGTCCACAGGTGATGGCAGTAGCAAAGGAGGAACTGAGCTTGCAAGTGCAGGACAACTTCCTCTTTCTTCCCCTTTTCATTCCATCTGGTTGCAAGCTTATTGGATGGAACCACACACAAGGGCGGGACTTCCCCTTCTGTTTGCTGGCCCATATGCCAATCATCTCTGGAACCTCTAGGTTCACCTGGATGTGTTCTTCACTCATCTCTTAGGCCTCAGTCCAGTCAAGGTGGCAGTCAAGATCATCTGTCATAGAAGTGAAGAACCCAGAAACAGCCCAGCAGGCCAAGACCCCACTGCTACTTCACAGGACAGGAAAGCACAGCTCTATCCAGCCCTCAGAAGCCAGAGTTGCCATGATGATAGAAACTTTTGGAAGTGTCACTCGGGGCCACTACTTTAAAAATAAATGAACATTTTCCTTACAAAGCTGAAGACATGTGTTCCCTTCAACCAGTCATGTACTGTCTTAGTCACTTTCTTATTCTTGCAACTCAATTTCTGACGCCCACAATTTCAGGGAGGAGAGGCTTATTTTGACTCACAGATTCAGAAGTTTCAGTCAGTAGTCTGCAGGGCTAACTGTAGAAACGTCTAGATAGAAGGGCCTGTCTGGGAGGAGAGCTGCTCATGCCATAGCTGTCAGGAAGCAGAGAGAGAAAGCAGGGGCCAGAAAGGCAGATACACCCTTCCCGGCCACCCCCCAGTGACCTGCCTCTTGTGGTCAGGCCCTGCTCCTTAGCAGCAGCTCGGCTCTGAGCTTGTTGGTAGACAAATCCCCTGATACGACAGCACCCCAGGATCCAATCACCTTCCCAACACATGAGGCTTTGGGGGGATACTTTAGATCTAACCCATGACACAAGCATGTATGAACAGGTTCCTGAGAGAGAACTCCAGCATGGGCCTGCATTTCAGCAGTTTTGGTAGAGCATATGGTTCAAGGTTATCCTCCTACTCTAGCACCTTAATAGTGTAATCTCACTTTATTCTGCACCGCTAGCTTGATGAGAGCTTGGCTGTGGGTCTGGCTGGTGGTCACTGCAGCCCTTCCTCGATTCTCCAGCTCCTCCTAAGGCTTTCTTTTCTGTACTAACCATTCTTCTGTCGTTGACCATTTGACATCTGAAAATCATGGGCAACCCAAAGCCCAGCATTGTTTATGGCCACATCATCTCTGGTTTTCATGAACAGGAAGCAAAATCACATGACAAACCCTCCAACCACCCAATATCTGTGCTGTGTGTCTTGCTCCAAAGGGAACGTTTCCACCTTATCCCTCTGCCTCTCTTGTGAAGCAGGCTCTGGTCTGTGCTGTCCCCTTGCCCCTCTTGCATCCTGACTGTCCCTGCTGCTCCCCGCCAGGGTCCTTTGTGGCCTGACCTACTGCCTCCTCTTGGGGTCAGTGAGTAATAAATTCTTCTTTCAAGGCACCTGTCTTTCATTCTGTCATCTTAGAAGACCTGACAAAAACAAAAGCCTGCGTACAACTCAGAGTGTCATCTTGGGATCAGGTATCTTCACGCCTCTAGTCCCATGTCCCCGGGTGTGGGTTCCCTGTCACTCATATCGTGCTGACCATTTGGGATGCCTGGATCTGGGGTGGGTGTCCTTCATCACTCCTGAAGTTTCCCCTCCAGTGGCACCCTTGCCCCTCTGCCCACTCCCCTGGACCTCTGCACTGTTATCCCTCTTGCCGCCTCTCTTGTGCCCTGTAGCATTTCTTCCAGATTTTCCCCGGATCTGCCTTCCTGTTCATCAATGTTCTTTTCAGCCATGTCTAATTTGTTAATGAATATAATTTCTGTTTTTGGATGTTATATTTAGCTCTCTTCACATTGGCTTGGCATTGTGTTCTTCCTTTTTTATTTTCTTTTTTCTTTTTGAGACAAGGTCTTGCTAAGTAGCCCACTTTAACTTTTAACTGATGGAGGTCTTTCTGTCTCGGCCTCCTGAGTGCTGGGATTCCAGGCATGCACCACCATGCCCAACTTACTTTCATTTTAAATGCTTACTCTTAATCCTCTCATCACACTTATTTTATGTTAGATCCTGGTAATTCCCATAGGCTTTCTGGGTCTAACTCTGCTCTTTATCATTTCTTCTGGCAGCTGGCATCTTTAGGTAGATGGATGTTCTCTCCTAGCAGAAGGCTTTTTTTGCATAGTGAAATGTCCATGCCAACTTCTCTGACAGAGCAGTGATGGTCCTGGGTGTGCTAATTTCTGTCACCTTCAGTTCCATCACCTGACATGGGATGGACAGTCCCGGGCACATGGCCACTTGTAGTTTGAATGCTGCCTCCTGCTGCAGTGTTTTGAAGTTAAGTGAAAACTCATTACTCAAGTTTATATCTCAGGTTCATGAGTTCAGATCTCTGTGGAGGTGAACAGATCACGGGCTGTGCTTAGCTGAGTTTACACAGAAGCAGATGCCAGCTCTATTTCTGCCCCCTCCTTTCCCCAGAGGGTGGAAACTAACTTTGATCTCTAATAGAAGGTATCATTTGATTTCAGAATTAGCAAAGCATAAGCCTGCCATGTCTTCGCACCGAGGAATACAGCATTGCACCTGTGCCGTGTCGTGGCGTGTCCTGTGTACCAGCGACCTCTAGCCCCATGCCAAGTGGGTGGCAGCGGCTGTTCAGAAGGATCTCAGTGCCTCATTCCGAAGTGACAGGAGTCAGACTCGCACGTGTAAATACCGTGTTGTCTTCCTGAAAGAGCAAATAAGATTCCAAATGTACAATAGATATTGTAGAAGAGACAGGGAAACTGCTCAGAAGGAAAGAACACCTGGGATGGGGGAAAAGAGAAAAGAAAGAAGGGAAAATATCGCACACACCTGATACACGATAGGTCACGATACCACTAATCTCTGTTAGTTCATCAAAAAGAACAGTTTGTGCTTTCTTTGTTGGATTGTTTGATCATTTTTATGCCTATATCTTGTAATCTAAACTACTACTTTGAAGATAACACTATGTAATATATTAACCAGTATTAATCTCCTATTATTTTTGTTTTGAAATTCTGTATCATCGTTTTTATTCTCTTTTCATTTTTAAAAACATTTTTAAGAAAAGAGAAAGATCTCAGGGCTCAGCTTTTGAATCCGCAGAGACATCCACGAGTGTGAGTGTGTTCTCAGACAGTTGAGGCTGAGTTACCATGTGGTCATGGGGACCCCATGTCCCCGTGCATCTCTGCAGCAAAGGTGTAATTCTCTGTCATGTTACCTGTCCTACTTCGGTGGGCTGGAACTTGATTCTAGGCTCTGTTTACTCCAGAAACCAGGCTGGTGGGGCAGCCTCTTTCTGGGATAGCAAGTGTGCATGTGTGAGTGTGTGTGTGTGTGTGTGTGTGTGTGTGAGTGTGCGTGAGCTAGAGGTGGGAGAGCCATGTGTGCCCAGCCCCTCATCCACCTTTCCTGGGTCCCTGCAGCCCTACTGAAGCCTCAGCCCTCTCCCCACTGACTGCTCAGGATGGACACACAACTAGGGATCTGGCCAGAGACCGCTGACCCTTCAGATTCTGTGGGGAGCCTGAGGCTGGGAGACTGAGACAGTAGCTGTGGTGCCCGACTTTGTCATGGGTGAGGCAGAGGCTGAGGGTGTTTTTGGGGACAGCCATCATGGGGCAGGTCCAGCAATATAGGGGTGGCTGGTAAGGTGGAGCCACCAGGCTGAGAAAATCCATGTCCAGGAGTCTGTGTCGGCTCAGGGAAAGGTGAGGTTTGATCACTGGGTTTCCTAGCAGGGTTGTAGCCCATGTGCCATGAGGTCATTTCTGTGCAGGAGGTTCCTGAGTGGGCTCCTGTCCAGGGCGTGTGTCTGAGCTGCCTACCATACAGGCCCTGTTTGAGCCCGCCTGAGTGTCCTTCTTTTTGATGAATTATCACTGTCGCCCATCAGTGACCATGGAGACTCCTAAATCCCTCAGGTTGGCTGTGAGATGGTGATTTTTTGAGGGGACAGGTGATGCTCCCCTTAGCCACATTTGGCAACAACGGGGCACCTTCCTGTGGCTCAGTCCACTTGGAGAGCCCGGGAGCTGTGAAAAGTCCCCAGATCCACTGTCAGGTGCCAGCCCGTTCTGCAGGATGCTCCCAGTGCTGTCAGAGGTGCCTGGATGGGGGCGGCAGTGCCCATCCCATTGCTTGCCCACCTCACTGTTTAGAGAGGAAGAACCTGGCTTAAAAATGCCTGCGAGCCCCTCTCCTCTAAGTGCTTCTCTTTTTTAAAATTTAGTACTACTAGGTCAGCGCCTTAAATATTTTCCAGGAAATCTTTATATTTTGGATCCCTCAAGCATCACGATATTAGGTCTTGGAGGAACAGGAGCAGCCTAGCCTCTTCCTTTCAGGTCCTCTCAAAACTCCCCTTGGCTTTGTGTCTTGCAAACAGCTCCAGGCTCGGTGCTGCAAATTCCCCTCCCCACCTCTCCACTGTCTCTCTGGGGACAAAGAAAGGGCTGCGCTCTCACTGAGGCCCTTGGGCAAAGCAGATACATCATCACAGTCTCGGAGGAGGAGGAGGCTGAGGCCCAGAGAGGCTTCAAAGGTGCCCGTGCAAAGCCGCTCAAACCTCTGCCTATTAACACTTTGAAAGAGCCCCTGTAGGCGTGTGAAAGCCGTCTGGGTTCATTGATAAAAAAAAAAAAAAAAAAAAAAAAAAAAAAAGGTATTGTTTTAGGACTGTTGAGTATATTAATGAGTTGTAACTGAGAAGAGATGCTGTTTGCAAAGGGCCATGGTTGCATTTCACGTCCTTGCTGCTTCCAGGATCCAGTGATGCCCAGGTAGCCACAGAGATGCAGGCAGCTGCAGCCGGGCCAGAACACTGGGCTAAGAGCCTGCGGGATGCAGCCCTTCCTCCAGCCCCAAGCTCAGGCGTGTGGTTAATATTCCTCTCTCTGGCCCCCACATCCTGTATTCTTATGTATGAACCAGTCTATTCAGACACAAGGAGCCGCATATGTCCCTGGGACTTTGTGACAGCTTGTCTCTCCCGCAGGATTGCGTATGGGCTCTGCTGAAATGTTCCTAAAAGCACGATTTTGTAAACACTTAAGCACAACTGGCCGTGGGTATCCCCTGCACATCTGAGTATGTGTAGTCCAAGTTCCAAGAGGGGTTCACTTTGTCTCTTCCCACCCCAGGGCTCTCAGCCTGAGGTGAGAAACGCAAAGGGAGGTTATTAAGAATTCTGACAAGGTAGGCTGAATAAATTGTGTTTTCTTTGTGAGCCTTAATCCGGTGTTGTGTTGGCTTCTTGGACATGGCTAATTTATTTGGAATTTCATTCTGCTCCTGACAGCGTCCCTGACTAGCTGTTTGATCACCGGGGCAAAGTTACATAGCAGCTTTCAACCGCAGCAAGGGCACAGCGAAGTGCATTCTTCTGGCTGGGGCTTTATCGGAGGAGCAGGGCATTTCAAATAGCTGGGGCCATCCCTTGGGCGGGAGAGAGGGCCAGCCGCGGGGGTCTCCTTCAATGAGGAAGCTCTCCACTTCTCCCACTCGTCCTACTGTTGGCGATTTTAATCTGCTTTTGTGGGGAAGGAAGAAAGAAAATTAATTTTCACCCATCTGCAAGTGGAGAGCAGTTTGCAATGCGTGTTCTGCTGATCTCAGCTGCTGGGTTTTGATATGCAGGATTCCCAGGGCAAGAAGGAAGTGGTCCACAAACCTTCCTGGGGTGCAGCTCCCAGGGGCTGCAGTGGCTGTGTGGAGTCCCCGCCGTCTCACTCTCCATCTCAGCAAAACGCGTTCACATTTTACTCTCATAAATCACACACTTCTATGATGTTGGATTTTTTTTTTTTTTTTTGGTATCAGCAAGCATCCTTTTGCAAGAAGGAAAAAAAATGTATCAGTAAGAGCCGGCATTTCTGAGAATCCTCACTACTTAGCATACTTGTAGCTGGTGGTTTTGCCATTTTGGCAGAATTTGCTCTAATGGAAACATAAGTTTCTGTTAGTTTGGCCTGGGGACCCCAACGGTGTGGCATATTCCTACTGAATGCCTTGGGGGTGACTGGAACCACACTGGGTGGGATGGGGCGGGGGGGGGGGATTGGACAAGAGCTCAGTTTAGAAAAAATGAAAGGGGTCTCGGGACCTCAGTGCTCTGATGAGAACAAAAAGCAAAGCTGACCGGCGAAGCAGGTGATAGATAGTCCCTGTGATCCCAGGGAGGGGCCTGGCCGCGGACGTGGATGGCGTGGTCCAGCTTGTCTCATAGCGCTTTAGAAGGAGTCTGCTTTGCCCTGGACAGTCCTCAGCCCAGCCTGGTTGCAGAGCTGGTGGGTGGTGGGTTCCTTTCATGGATGAGGAAGCAGAGGCCCAGAGCGCTCCGGTGATACCATGGTCAGGAGCTGCCACTTCAGTGGCACCCTCATTGCCAGTGTTGTCACCACGGCAAGAGTGGGTCCAGGAACTTGTGTCTCCTCTTTGCTTCAAGCCCCATTTGCCACGCATTTAGTGAGAGATGCTGCGTGTGGACTGTTCCCTTGTCACTGCTTACATGCTCCGACACTTGGGGGCAGGAGGCACCTTGGCTCTTCAGAGTCCTGAAGGTACCGAGTACCCCAGTCTGCCCTCTGTGACCAGAAGCTCCCACCACTCAGCTCTGTAGAGTGGGACAAACTCAAAGGTCCGGATCTGGAGACACTGGGCACCCTTGTCTTGGACTCTGCAAGTTGAAAAGTCACAAAAGGGAGCAACTTTGGGTACAGTCCCTGTGCCCTGTGATCCTGGGGCTAAGGGCCTTAAGCATTTGTCCAGCGCCAGGCAGGGCACACAGGTCTCTTTCTCCCCATGGTCAGCCTGTGCCTAGGAGCTGTTGGGGTGGGGGACTCAGCTGCTGAATTCCAGGATGTCCCCTGGAGGACGGTTGAGTTGGAAGCCAAAGGACACTGGGGTGGGGGCAGGGTAAAGGACAGAGGACAGGTTACATCTCCAGCTACCCCCACCGCTAACCGTGGGGGACCTGAGGAGTTTCCCCTCTGGGAATGGGGAGCATTGTGGGGCTCCCCACCGCAACACCCACAGGTACAGAGTGAGCTAATTCATGTCCACTGGACTTTCATTATCACTTTCTTCCCTTTCCTGTGGCACTGGCCACCTTATCCATCCTTATCCATCTTTGGGTCTCCCAGTGGGCACCCAGTGCCGCTCCATCAGGAGCTGTCCTGGGAGTGGCCGAGACACTGCCCAGGGTAGGATGTCTACCTGTTTCTCCCCTGAAGGACACACTGTCCGCGTCTCTACTCATGCCTGGGAGCCCAGGAGTGTCTGAGTGGGGAGGGCCAAGCCTCCTTGACCCCAGAGAGTCTCCAGTGCAGGGATGCCATGTGACCATGGGCGGTGTTGATTCTGCATGTCTGATTGTGTGCTCGGTAAATACGGGGACTTTTGTCCAAGGCCAGTGTGTCCCCACCTGCCCGGTGGGCCTGAGCTGGTGGCTGGGACAGGACAGGCAGCTCCGGCTGTGCAGAACACCTCACCTACGAACTTGACCCTCCCAGGTAAGTGAAATGCTTCTCCTTCCTGCATGCATGGCTGTGCCCTCTGGGGACCCTTACCCAGATGCATGAGGTCTTTTCCCAGAGGCCAGCAGGGTCCTCTGGACTCTCCAGAGGCCTTTTTCAAGCAAATGCTCTGATTTCTGCTGCATGGGCTCCTGATAGCTGAACCGTCTCCTATGTCTGAGGTGTGGAAAAGAAACCCGGAGTTTACTGTCCCCTGAGCATGGCATTCTGCCAAGCCTGGACAGCCTGGCAGGCGCACTGGCCGATGCTGGCAGTGGGCAGCCTCCCCCAGACAGCAGAGAGCAGGCAGCCTCCATTAGCCTGAGTGGTGCTTGAGCTGTGGGCGAGTGGTGAGGGATGAGGCCGATGGTGAGCTCCAGTGGGGCCTGCTGGGGTGAGCACTCGGTCCATGGATGAAGAAGCTCGGGGGCTGGTGACAGGTGACTGCTCACTGGGCCCAGACGCTCTCAAACTCAGAAGGGCCCCTTTGCCTGTCTCCATGAGATGGTTTCCTGCTGAGAATATGATTGGACACCTAGAACACCTCGGCTAAAGACACCTGTTTCTCCTGCTGGACCCCATTACTATGGGACACAGAGCAGGAGCTAGACAGGAAGCATAGGCCGGCTGTCCCCTCTCCTGTGGGGAATCTCAGCTGCCACTAAAGGCCAGAGGTGGCTGTGTGCGTGCAATGTGCGTGGGGGGCAGATGGAGGAGGCTGGGCAGATGTCATTATTTCAGAAAGGCGTGGGATGCTCTTGGGGTGTCACTCTGGGGACAGGGGTTGGGCCCCTGGAAAGGCTCCCATGATCCTCTCAGCAGGTGGTCTCTGCCTCACTTTAAACCTCGGTCCCCCACGGTCCTCCACGGTCCTCCACGGCCATCCATCCAGAGGCTGAGTGGCTCCTCCAAGGCTACCAGGTGAGTAAGAAGGACCCTGTGAGGGATGTGAGGGGACCCGCAGAGTGTCCTGTCCCCCACCCCCCAGAGCCTCCTAATTACTGAGATGAGGGGAAGGAGGTGCTGGGCCACCTGGCTGCCCCCCGGGGGGTTAAGCGGATTTCCCGGTCCGGGCCCTTTCTGGGAGTCTGGCCGCAGCCACCCGACGCCTCCCCTCCGGGATGTGGATGCATGGCCCATGTGCTAAGTGAGCCAAGTCTGGGGTCGTCACTGTTCTCTCTTCTCCCCCTCCCCTCCCTTTTCATTTCTGCAGCCTCCCCGCCAAGCTCCCGGCCCCCGGCTGGCCAGGCCTGCTGCAAAGCCCGCCGAGGGGCTCGGACAGTGCCGGGCTCCAGAAGTGATAGCTAATTGGGGAGAGAAAGGGCCCGATTGTCTCGCGGCGGCCGGAAGAGCGGCGTGGGCCGCTGAAAGGGCCGGGAGGAGGTGGCCGCTTCGCCCAGCAGCTGCCGCCTGGAGATGTTTGGGGATTACGTCAGCGCTGGCGGGTAGGGGCAGCAGGGCCAGCGGAGGAGGCGGGCTCGCGGCGGCCTCCCGCCCCCCGGGCCCCTGGACAATGCCCGCATTGTCGGTGCCGAGAGTGGTTAATTCTGGCTGAATGGTACACGGGCCTCTTGACCAAGGAGGCTGCTTGTCGCCCCGATCTGTCCTCTCAGGAGGGCCTGCCTGCCTGGGGGGCTGCGGACAGCGGGGGTCAGTCCCTGCGAGGGGCCGTGTGTCCAGCCTGGGGAGGCAGTTGTCACCAGGGGTTGGGGGTGGCAGCTTCTCAGCATGGGCTCCTGGCTGGGGGGTGGTGTGGGCCCTGACCCACTCATGGTGCTGCTGGTGGTCATCCTGCTGGTGCGTTTCATCTTGTGGTCCTGCCTGGGGACCTACATTGACCACAGGCTGGCCCGGCCGCCGCTGCAGCCCCGAAAAGCCAAGCGGGACTAGGGTTTTGTGCTGACATGGTTGTTCCCTGGGGAGGGGTCAGGGGACTGGGGAGCACACACCTGAGCTTACTGGTTTTGCTTCCAGCTAATGCTCCTCCCCCTCTTCTCTCCAAGTGTCCACTCCTTGGAGTTGACCACTCTGGCCCCTTCACACCTGACCAGGCAGCTGACTCCTATGTCCTAAGGGTTATGGAAGAGACCTGGGATGCATGGTGACTGCCCAGACTGATCCTATGGGTATGACCACCCACCTGGGGTATGGGAGGGATTGTGGCCAGCTTTCTGTCACCAGGTCCTGAATCCCCAGCTGTAGTGAGTGCTCTGGGTAGGTATCTAACTCTAAGCCTGTCTCAGCCTCCAATTCTTCATAAATACATTTGCAGGAAGTGGCTGGAGGGGACCAGGGATGTTGGCAGAGAGGCCAGCCACAAGGACACCTGTGACTCCATCATGAGCTAGCCCTGTTGGGGTCCCTTCCTTCCTAACCAGTCATTTCTGGCTTCCCAAGTGTCTGGGCTCACAGAGCAGACCTTGGGAAAGTTCTCAAGACAGACCTGGGACACCTAAGCTCAGGTCCAGCCATCCTTTGTCATGTGCGAACTCTGCCCATCAGCCTACTCTAAGATGGGCTGTGTGCCTCCCTCCTTTAGCAGGTCAGGGTATAGGGGAAAGCCCCAGGAGCCTGCAGATTCCCATGCTTTGTGGAGAGTCGGTGAGTGGAGAAGCCAAGGGGCCTGCCAGGGTCCCCTGAGCACCTGTGGTTAATCTGGGCAGCTGGGATGCATCTGGAAAGACTGACAGGGCAGGGAAGTTGAGTTGTGGCCACACAGCAATCGTCCCCTCTTTACCATCACATGGGTAGAGACGCCACCAATTTAACTACCAGGATGGGGTAGCTTGGTGGCTTCTGCCCAGCACAGACTTACAGCACTCCGGGAGACCTTGGCAAATGCTGGCGCCCGCTCCACCCCAGACCAGCTGATGTGTCACCTCTGGGAATCTGTATGTACGATCCCAGGAGCAGTTTCCAGACCACAGCAAGAATCACCTCTCTGATCACCTCATGAGGAACAAAGAACTTGGCGAGGGAAGGTTGACTCTTTTGCAGTGGCTCTGAGAAGCACTGGCCCAGTATCTTCTGAGAGGAGATAGTGACAGGGACACTGGCTGTGCCTCACTCCTGGAACAGTAAGGAGGTGCAAAGATGCTGGCCTGGGAAACATGAACTGAGTTGTGTGGACACAGGTTTCTCCAAGCACTGGTCCACGGGTCCTGGATGTCTTTTGTTGGTCAAGAGCAGGGTCACAGGTGGCCACGAGAAGGCTGGAGTCACTTGGTCTGGATCAGGAGACATTCAGGACCTCCTGACTCAGGAGAACTAAGGATTGGAGAGCAGTGACTGTCCAGGCCAGAGCTGACCAGCTGGAGCGAGTGTGACAGTGACAGTCCAGGGAACAATGTGAGGCAACCTAGATGAAGGTTGCATCTTGTTGAGGGCAGTGTTCAGGGGTACAGTCCCTGAGATTTGTCCCCTGGCTGGTTGGATTAACGGGCAGAGTTCTAGGGTCCCGTCTCCTCATCAAGGACAGTTAGCCAGGCCGAGGACTCTGCATGAACATTTTTGCTGCCCTAGGAGAAGGATGTTTACATTGCTGTTTAAGAAAAGTGTTATCTAATTTTCTTTGCAATTATCATGCATGATTTGACTGATCTCTTTAAGGAAGGAAAATCGCATTTGCTGTCATGATCTAAAGCTGGTGGAGCTGGAGGGGGCAGCGTTCCCAGGCTGCCATCCTGGATTTAGAACGAGAAGCCCCAGACACACCAGGCATCCGTGGAGGTGGGGAAGGTTTGCAGTTTGAGCAGCGTGCGGCTCACACCCTGTGGTGGTCCAGTGACATGTGACTCCCGTGTCACCGGGCTGTCTCTTTGATTGTACAGAACCGGCTGAATTTACCTTTTGCTCCAGGGAGCCAGAATTCATGGGCTTCTTCTAGAATAGAGACGAGGACACACTCTTCTGCCTCAGGGGTCCACCAGATACGACAGAGGCTGAGGCTGGCTGCCACCACAAGGGCCCACCAGAGACAGGGTTCTGCCAACCTATAAGTGCCTCCCTGTTTCAGTTACCCTGGTCAGTGATTTCCTCTTATTTCTTGAGGTAGTTTATGTTCATTTCTGTTACCATCCAATGAAAGAACTTTCTGGAAGCACAGTCAGCACCCACTGCCTCCTGACAGTGCCTGGCTCGGAGCAGGTGCTTGGGAAGTAATGGCCGATTGAGCTCAGGAGGCATCTGGTCATCTCAGGTAGCACTTCGAGTAACAGATAAGTGGACACCAGTGACTCAAACAGCGAGAATTTCTTTTTTAATTTCAGTTTTTGTTTCACTTATAGAAAGTCAGCTAGCACTTGGCATTCCCAGGCTGTGGTATGGTAGCTCCCTGACTTTACTGTAGATTCAGTCCCTGCCATATGTTTGTACTACTGTCCTTTTGTCTTTGTATGACAAGAAGGCTACTGCTGCTCCGGGCATCTTACATGAGTTCTAGGCAGGAAAAGAAAAGACAGAGCGATGGAGATGAATAGCAATGTCCTGGAAGCCTTTAGTTTTCTATCTCATGTGCCTGAAGGATGCCCCACGGCATCTCTAGGGGAAGACATGGCCGAGAAGTGGCATTTGTTAGCTGTGCACATTGTCTCCCTGGGTAACACTGAGCCTCTGTTCCAAGGGAAGGATGGCAAACTGGCACTCAGGTAGTTAGCTTTTTTGTCTATGCCACTGGCCCCTTGGTCACTCTTTGCAGTGGCGGTCTTTAACTGGGTATTTTGGTGTCTTTTGTAACTCCATTAGGTTCTGATTTTGCCCTGCTGATCACTGGGAATACTGCATGTGCCCACTTCCCTTGGCAGTACCACGCCAGTGTCAGACATTGAAATCTTCCATGGCTTCCCATGGGCTCCTAAGATAGTGTCCCAGGGCTCTCTAGGACAGAGTGATATTCCCCTGCTACACAAGCAGGGAGGTACCCCTCCTAGCTGGCAGCCTTTTCGGCAGATTGGCAGGAGGGAGGCAGACAGTGAATAGCTGATGGGCAGCAGGTGGAAAGGTGCACCCCAATGTCCCTACAACATCCAGTCTCTTAGAGTGAGGCTGAGTTTGGACCTCGGCCCTTTAAAGAGGCGATTACAGTAAAAGAAGTCACATGGGCTGGGCCCTAATCCCAGATGACTGGTGTTAGGACACAGCCATGTGCATGCACAGAGACAGACCTTGCAGAGATGTGGCAAGATGATGACCACCTGTAAGCCAAGGAGCGAGATCTCCAAAGGAGCCTTGGACTTCTGATTTCCAGAACTCCAGTAAATATATGTTGTTGAAGCCGCTCGCTGTGGTACCTTGTTAGGGTGGTGGGAGCTGACGGATAACATGGCTAAATAAAGTAGTCATTAACTCAGGAGGTATACCCCAGGAAGATCAGGAAACACACATCGCTCTGCTGGGCAAAGGTGGCCACTGAGCACAGGAAGTAGGCTGGTGCAAATGAAGATATTCTGTGAGCAGAAAGTCAGCACTAGTTATTCAAGACACTGCAAAAGAGTGGACAGTCTCACTGACGATGGTTTTGAATTTGATTATGCATCAAAATGATCACAATGTTTTGGACACGTTGATTTAAATAAAACATTAACTTTTTCTCTTTCTTTTAATGGGTGTTAATTGGCTATGTTGGGCAGTGCTGTGCTTGAGGCTGCAGTAGATGCAGCTAATGCAGTTGCTGCTGGAGGAATCATAGCCTTAAACGCTTATGTTCACATGCATGAAAGACTATAAAGGTGTTTCCATTAATCCCCATTACAAGTGTAGCAATGTTAAGTTGAATACTGAAAACACAGTTTTGGAGAGCAGTGGTTCATGGGGCATTCCAGAAAGTTTGAGACTCCAAGTTTCCGAAGGGCATTATTAAGAAGGAAAGAAAGAGACAAAGAGAGAGAGAGAGAGAGAGAGAGAGAGAGAGAGAGAGAGAGAGAGAGAAAGAGAGAGAAAGAGAGAGAAAGAGAGAGAGAGAGATAGAGGTGTTAAAGATCATATTTGCTTTAAAAGGTTGAACATAACAGTGAGAAAGCAGTTCTTAATATTGAAAAATATTCTTTATATACCAAATACAACTTTATTGCATTTTGCATCAGACTCTTAAAAACCAAACAAAACAAAATGACATGGATTTAGCACATGACTCAATAATCGGAAGAGCAATAGAATGATAATACAAACCTAAGAACAGAAGGAAGAAATAAAAGAGAAAATGGGTATATTAAAAGGTGATAGACAGCATAAGCGCCTACCTGGCAAGTGCAAGGTCCTGAGTTTGATTCCTACTACAAGAAAAAAAAGTGATAGAATTAACAATTGTATTCAAGGGATGGGTTTTTGAGGGAAAGAAAAAGGAAAAACCCATATAAATGTCTGAAAAAAAACAACTAGACATAAAAGGCAAATAACCATAGGAAACTGATGCTAGTGCATATAAATGTTAGAGACTTTGAAAGCACAGAAAATATGATTTATAAAAAAATGACTCCCACATAGATGTAAATTCTAAGCAACTTATCCATCCTTGAAGAAACAGGAAATTATCCAAGCCTATTTTCCTTTAAAATAATAATAATAGCTGGGTCTGGTGGCTCGTGTCTGTAATCCCACCATTTAAGAGGCTGAGGCAGGAGGATCACAGTGAGTTTAGAGACAGCCTGGGGTACATAGTGAGTTCAAGGCCAGCCTGAACTACATAGCAAGATTATCCGCCCCCCCCAAATGATGATAATAATTTACAAAGAGCATTGGATTCTTCATGGGAGGGTCCTATCACACCAAAATGGAACGGGCCCTTCAACATTATTTAATCTGCTGTAGAACATAAAAGAAGGAAAAGTTTCCAAAATTTTTTTATATAGCAAGCATATTAGTGTTGCCAAACTCCCTCAAAGATGGCATGGAAGGAGAAAACACATGCCAGGGTTGCTTAGGAACGCTGATGCAAAAACACTAAATCTCCAAATGAAACGGCACGTCACAGCCATAAATCATCCTGCCCTCGCGAATCGGGTTCCAAAAAGGCAAGAATGGTAATGCTAGAAAGTCAATTCATGGCACCACAAGGACAGGGGAAGAAGTCAGAGGTGCGGTGGTGTCGCTGGGGGAGCAGATGATTCTTTACAGCCGGGCGGATGATTATCTTGGCAAATGGAAGAGAATTGATTGCAAATGAGGACAACAACAGATTTAAGTCACATTGGTGGGTCCAAGTCACTAAATAGAACCTGTAGCAGCTGTGATTAAAAAATAGGGCGAGTAATAATAAAAGACACATTGTCGTCAATCACATTCAAAGTATGAAAAATTCTCTGTTACTTTGAATACATTTATATCATCATTTTTTTTTTCTCGACTTTTTGAGACAAGGTTTCACTTTGTGGTTCAGACTGACCTTGAACTCACTTTGCAGCCCAGTCTGGCCTCAACTTGCAGCCATCCTCCTGCCTTAGTTTCCCAAGTACGAGGGTTACAGGCATGTGCCACCATACCTGGCTGATCCCATCATTCTTGACGATGTATCTTTTACTGTAATGAGTTTTATAAAGTCTAAACATTTATTGTGTTTTTTCGATCCCTTCTTGCATACGTGGTCATTTATTAGGGGAGGTGTGTTAGTCTGTTTCCTGAAATGAAATGCATGGGGCGAAAGTGGGGACTTTATGGGTGTCTCATTTAGCTCGTCATTCCAGGGATTCCAGAGTTGGTGTGGACTTTTTTTTTACACTGGGGTCCAAGTTTCCAGCATAGGAGCCTTTCTTTAGGGGCTCAAATATCTGCAAAGCACAGCTGGAGGGGTGCTTGAACCATCCCACATCAGGATCACCGAGAACAGAATACCTGGGCGTAAATGTCACGGAAAGAAAACACCTAGAATGAAACAGAACAGAGAGCACATGAGCAGCCAGCAGGAAGCTGGAGGAGCGGCTCCGGGTGGCTGTGGGTGGGAGCCAGGCTCTGGCTGGTCCCTTTCGTCCGCTAGGTGCTGTCTGCTTGGGCAGCGTGGATGCAATCAGTGAGGGCCGGAGTGGGGAGGCTGGGCCTTGAGTCTCAGCCCAGCCTTGGGCCCCAGGGTGCAGGGGAGCAGCTGTCCTCTGTGGGCCTCTCCCCTGGGCCTGGCCCCTGAGAGCAGCCCACAGCCCTGATGGAGATGAGTCACTGGTTCTAAAAATAAGACAGGGTAAGTCGTGAAATAGTGTATTTCCTTTTTAAGCCAGATGAGCCCGCCGAGGGATCCCCAGCAGTTTGGTGCAGGCGGCGGGGAGCCTCGCGGGTGACTGGTGACCACCAGGGGCTGTGTCCTTGTTCACACCACTTGCCTGCACTGGCACCAGCATACGCCCAGGGGGCAGCGCTGGATGGGAGAGGGGGTCTCTGCCCATTCTATCTCCCCATGGAGTGAACAGGCACCATGGGTGGACAGTGCATGGACAGAAGCCCTAGGAGGAGCAGGACACACAGAGGGTTGGGGTTAGGGTAAGGGGGGCTCTGAGAGGCAGGAGGAGCAAGAAGAACAAGAGCCTGGAGGCCAGAAAGCTCACAGTGGGAGCCCGGGGTGCCTCCTCAGCAGGATTTCTTAGAGCCCTGGGGAGCCCTGGGGCAGACTCCCAGCCCCCCTGGCCTGCTGGCTTGGCTCTCTGATGGTGCAGTCCAGGCCCTCCTTGAGGCACAGAATCCTGACTCTCGCAGGCCGCCTCCAACTGGGACATCCATGAAAGAGAGAGGTGAATTCCTGTCTTAGGTGCACTGCTGTGTGGTGGGGCTGTTACCCCAGCTTTGTGTTGCCTAATGCAGCAGGGAGCCATCTGGGGGACACCTGCAGCGGGCAGAGTCTGTGGGTGGAGCCTCAGGGCAGGACCCAAGGATACGCAGGAGATCCTCCAGAGCCCAGCCACAGAGCCCACTCAGGTCAGGGCACGTTGCACATACCAGTGCCCCTTGTTCACAGTACCCTGTCCAAGTACCAGAGGTTCATCCCATCTCCATCTGTCCTTCCAGGTCCCAATCCCTGGAGAAGAGAGACCAGCAGCAGCTGAGTGACAGAGGAAGAAGGGAGAGGACAGTTGGAAGTCCTTAGCCACTTCCTGAGCCATGTTCCAGGACTGAAGGTGGGCAGAGAGATGACAAAAGAGTGTAGAATTCAATGCAAGAACGCAGTTAGAGCTGAGTTGAGTTAGAGTTGACTGGACTCATTGATTACTCAGGATTAAGTCTTAATTATTGAAATGAAATAGGGAACTATGGGATCCTGAAAGCAATGGGTAGAGGGAGACAAAGCCATTGTCTGTGCTGGGGCTCCTTGTTACACAGCTCTCTCTGGGTACTAACCAGTACACTCCCCTATAAGTCTGTTGTATTCAGCCTACCCATTCATAGCATAGATGCAGCTGGTTCTGCCTTCAACACAGAGAGTCTGGAAGTGCCCAGGGATGGCAAGCTCCCTCTTCAATGTCTGCAGGGCTGTTCCTTTCTCCAAATGCCTGTTCTTTTCTTTCCAAGATGTCCTCCAAGGACAGGACCCAGGGTGGTAGCCCAAAAAGCACTTGCTACCTATCAGAAAAGAAAAACTCCTGGCTTTTAGAGGGACATAAATTAGCAGGGGGGTGAGGCACAGAGGAAAGGCTACATCCTTCTCCTGAGCACTAGTAGGGCAGCTGTGTGTGGTGGGAAGACACACACAGGAGGACTAAGGGCTAATTCTGTCCTCTGTCCCCAATCCTACTGGCCACAGCAACTAAGGAGGGCATCGTGGGGGCACATCCGTCCCTGGATTCACCTTCTTTACTTCTCTTCTTTGTTCCCTTGATCCTGACTGCGCCTTTCTGGCTGGTACCACTTGTGGGAGGCACACGTTTTAGAACCCACCTGTCACAGCGCCTCCTGCTGGAGGGAGGCCAGCTGAGGTAGGCAGGCTCATCGGTTCCTGGAGTTGGGAGGGGAGCATTTCTGAGTTCTTGGGTCCGGTGAGCTGTCTCTAGCCGGCCTTGCATTCTGGGATTCTCTTCAGCTTCCTTCAGACCCCCAAGGATGCCAGCTTCCCTGCCATCTTCACCACATTTCTGGCCCTCTAGGCATCACGAGTGCACGACCGTGAGGACAGCTGCTGGGGCTCCTCCCTGATCTTGGTGCCCCTCAGCCTGTACCTCCCTAGAAGGCTGCCAGGGGCTCGTGCCAGGGCAAAGATGCTCTGACACGGGCCCTGGGTGGCTGTCCATCCTCAGTTCCCATGCAGGAAGAGGTGACATCTGCAAAACAGGCACAGTAAGGTCAAAGAAAGAAAGGTAACACGAATCCAAGGACAGACCTGTCACCCATCTCCTCCGTGCTTGCCACCAGCCAGAGGTATCTGGGGTGGAGGAGAGGCTTGGCGTTCTCGTGGCCAGTGGAGAAAATATGTGGGCTCCTCAGGGGTGATCCGAGTCTCTTTGTGCTGACAGTAAAGGACATTCATCACAAGGGCTTCATGTAGAGGTCACTGGCAGCGCTGGTGCTCAGAGTCCTCAGGCTTCTGCAGGGAAATGGAGCCAGTATCATGTGCAAATCAGTATGGAAAGGGATTTACGGAAGGGGTTGGTGGCAGTCATTGTGGCGGCTGGCAGATCCCAAGCCTGAGGGGTGAGCTCTGGGGAGCTGATACTGAAGTCCAGTCTGCTGGGCTTTGCTTCTGTTTGGGCTTTCACCTGATGGGCTGAGCCCTACCCACAGTAGGGAGGCTACGCTACTAATTCCACTGGTATAGTTGTTAACCCCACTCTTTTTTATTTGGAGGCAAGGTCTTGCTAAATTGCTAACTTCTCAGGCTGGGCTTGAATTTGCCATCCTCCTGCCTTGGCCTCTCAGAGTGCTGGGATTAATTCCCTGCTGCACTTTTTCCCAGTGTAATTTTACACCGGACCCAAGATCTCAGTGTGTATCACCACGACCTGCTGTACTTTTTCTTGATTGAAGTGTGTAGACTGCAGACCTGTGAGGGCAGGCAGGACTCCCATTTCCACTGCTGTGCTGACTTGAAAACTCCAGACACTCAGTGGGTGCCCAGCCCTGTCCCTTGGCTGCCTGCCTCTTCTTCCTTGTCTGTGCCCGTCACACTGATTGATCCTAGCTTTCTCAGCTACTCCCTGGGACCTGATTTCCAGCTGATTCCCACACTAGGTGGCTTCTAGTAGCCCAGTTTTCTGGGTGGGGCTGGACCAAATCGTAAGGATGATCTCCAGGTTCCAGGTAATCCTGTCTCTAATCCAGAGCCAAATTTGCGACACTAGAGGCTGTGGAATTCTACCCTGGTGACGCTGAACGTGGGGCTGCACAGAATGCTTATGAGGGGTGGGGGTGAGGCGGCTTCCTGGAGAGGCAGGGTCAAGGTCCTTGTGCTGAAAGGCTTTAGGGGCACTGTGGGCATGGATATTTCTATGCATGACGTATATATATATGGGAGACACTGACTTCACATTTTCTATGTACTTATTGAAAAATAACCTTACCCTAATCATAACAGGAGACATTTTGCCCACGACCTGCTACCCTAACAAATCAACTGTCCACTATATTCACATTGCCCTCCTGGCCAGGTCTTTGCAGACATGACCTCGAAGCTACCAAGAACATCCTTGTTTATTCCTTTATTTCCTCAGAAAATGCTAGGTATTTATGTAGTTGGCATCAGGAAATCTGCTCCTACTAATAACTTCTTAGCTTTTCTTTTAGAGTGTTACCATCTATGTAAATAACCTGTATTAATCTGATTACATTAATTGTAAGAATCAGCCTCCTATGTTAGCAGCCTGGCCCAACTTGTGTATTCTTGTTCATGACTCCAAAGAGCAGGAGATTAAGGCTGTGTCCCACATTATCATGCAGGGACCCAGCCTCTTTGTCTGGGGCTCTGCTGATCCCCACAGCTGTAGAATCTTCCGTGGTGGACTTCGCAGGCAGCAGAGGAGGAGTAGCTGGACTGTGTGGGGCCTGGAGATGGCATACACCGTTCCCCTCTTGTTCCCTTGGGTGGAGCTCAGTCCTAGACTTGCTATTAGACAGCAATTATATATTAGTCACCTTCCTGTTGCTGGGACAAAAACACCCAACACTTGAAACTTAAGGGAAGAGAGATTTATTTTGGCTCACGGTTTTAGAGGGTTCAGTCCATGTAAGGTGACTTCAAGGCAGAAACCACAAGGTGGAAGGACATGGTATACAAAAGCTTCTTCTCATGGAGCTAGAACACAGAGAGAAGGGAAGAGTGGAGCAAGGTGGGCAGGGGTGTCAGAAGTCCTGAGTCAAACAGCTCTTACTGGGCTGGGGGTGCTCTGCTGAGTGCAGGGCCATCACTGGGTTGTCTTCTCCAGGACTTCTCTTCCCTCTACTGTGTGGGGTGGGGCTGCCTTTTGCCCCTCCCCTCTCGTCTCGATTTATTCCCTTGTTTGGGGGGAGCACATCCTTCCACAGCTCCTTGAGAAAGTGTGTCTTCTGGTTTTGTTTTTTTGAGACCTTGCATGTAGATTCACCCCACCCTTACTTTTGCTTAACAGTGTGGCTGACCATGGAATTTTTTTTTTTATCGGTACCGGGGATCGAACTCATGACCGCCTGCTTGCAAGGCAGGTGCTTATGCCGCTGAGCTAAATCCCCAGTCCTGACCATGGAATTTTAGGTCAGAAAATAATTTTCCAGTGGAAGTTTGAAGGGGTTGCTCCACTATTTTCTTGCTCCTTAGAGCATTTATCTATATCACCCTCAATTATAGTTCAAGTTATACAACTTTGTACCAGCCTCTCTTAGGGACCTCCCAGTCACCACCGAGCCCTCCTTCCCCTAGGTTCTGCCATCCTGACCTCTACTGCTTTAGGTGGGGTTGAGTTTCTAAAAGAGATACATCAGCATGCGTCTTTTTCTCACGCCTGATGCTGTGTTAACGTGCTTTTCCATTGTGTGGGCAGGCGTCTCAGTCTGTTTATCCTCTACTGGGGAAGACACTGTGGTCGTTAAGTGCTGTGACCCTGCGAGTGAAGCTCCGCGTGGCACTAGTGCTCAGGTCTTGGATGGATGTGCTGAGTGTTGTAGGTGTCTGCTCACAGGTAGGTTGCTGGGACACCACACCCAACAGCCACAGTGTGAAGGAGGAGAGCTTTAATTTGCTCGGTCCATGGCGGGCTGGCTCTGAGGCAGAGACGTCATGGCAGAAGGGCGTGGTGGAGCACGGCAGGTTAGGTCAGGTGGCCAGGAAGCAGAGGGGAGCAGGCGACCGGGGATGGTGTGAAGTGAGTGCCCAAGGTCATGCCCCCGCGCCCTACCCAGCACGCCCCAAAGGGTGCTGGGTCCCGGGCTGTAGGTCCTCTCTTTTTTGTTTTTCCTCCCTCTTTCCTTCACCTCCTTCCCTTTCTTCTTCTTGCTTTTCTTTTCCCTTCCTTCTCTCCCTCTTTCCCTCCTGTCTTTTCTTTCTTTCTTTCTTCTTCTCCTCTCTCCTCTTTTCCCTTATTTTTTTCTTCTATTTCCCCCCTTCTGCCTTCTCTCTTCTCTCCCAACTTCTACATTGTCTCCAATTCCTACCTCTTTAATCAGTTTGAAATTCCACTCTGACCCCCACATGGGAAGCTGCGTGCTCCTCTCCGCCAGAAGCTGCTTTGCAGTTCGAAGAGAGGCTGTCACACTGCCCCTGGCAGTTCCAGTGGGAACCGGTAGGGCCTCCCACCACAGTCCAGATGGGTTCTGATCAATGACACAGTGTGGATCGAACTCTGATCATGTAACATCTCCTTCCTGGGGTTGAGAGCATGTCGCCTTCCCAGGAAGCTGGCCTTGGCTGCTGGCTGGAGCAGGTGACCTGTGGCTCCGTAGGCCCTGGGGCCCATCACGTCTTGCACTGTCATTTGTGGCTGAACTTTTGCTCTGGTCTGTGATCACCCTGTGGCCCAAGGTGGAGTTGACTGCTGAAGTCCAGCTGGGTGGCCTGGTCTGAGGCACTGGGAAATCGCTTGGAGAAGAAGCAGGAAGGCAGAGGACGGCAAAGGAGCAAGGAGGGAGGAGGGTGGAGAGGAGGGAAGAGAGGGGGAGGAAAGGAGGACGCCACGAAGGGAAGGAAGGCCAGAAGGATAAAACGAAGGGAGGAGAGAAGGGCGCAAGGGAAGAAGAGAGGGAGGGGAGTGAAGGAAGGAAGCGAGGAGGAAGCGAGGAGGGAGGTGCCGCGGCTGGTGAGCAGAGGCGCAGCCCTCGGGCCACCTGCCCATGCAGACACCCGAGCCGGAGCGGTGCCCAGCCTCCTTGTGTCAGCCCAGCCGCCCTCTGCTGCGGCCCCTTCTCCATCCCTGCCTTCGCCTCGCCGTGGAAACCCAAGATCCAGCTAGGGACCAGGTTAGCAGATGTCTGTGAAAAGGGCCGTCTGCCTTCGCCGATAAGAGATTTCAGACAATGCATGGTGTGATTGGGGAATTCCCAGCGGGCAGGGGGCCACCAGACCTGGGTCACTGCTCTTTTGCCTCTGGGTGCCATCTCTAGGTGGGGGCCTCGGTGCAGGGCAGTCACCTGGTGCTGGTGGGTGTGTGCTCACCACCTAGTGCTCACCCTTGCTGGGCATCTACCATGATCCAACCACAATGGGAACAGGATGTGTGGACTTTGTCTTCATTTTCATGCACTGGGGCGCCAAGTTCCTCTAATACGGCCATCGGAAGTGGAGATACTGAAGCCAGGGAATACCAGTAACACAGCCCAAGCCCACAGGATGTCCTAGAGATGGCCTCTGGGCCCATGGGAGTCCAGCTCCCAGCTGGGCATTGCTCCCTGTGACGGCTTGGACCCCAAGGGTGGCACAGGGCAGTGTCTATGGAGCATGTGGCCACGGGGAGCCTGGGGACACATACGCCTGCCTCACATGGCACTTGCATCTCTGGTCTTGGACTCTGGTGGAGCCACCACCCCAGGGTGCCCGAGGAAGGGATTCTGAGTTGCGGAGCACCTTGGGGGCCAGCCCATCTCATCTCATGGCTACTACAGCGTTATTACCCCGTTTACACATGAGACATGGCGGGGGTATGTGTTCCTGCCTGGAGGCCAAAGTGGGTGGCAGTGGCACTGCTGGGTGTCAGAGGCCTGGCTCTCTCTCTCTGCTCATTGGATCAAGGACCACATCTTTCCCTGGGGGATGGGAGAGGCCAGAAAACTCCAGCAGGGTGACTGTCTGTTTGCTCCTCTGTGCCCCAAAACTGCCCTGCACACTTGAGCCAGCCTTAGAGAGGAGACCAGAGAGACAGCTGGAGCCATCCAGCTCTGCGAGCTCTGGCCACTGCAGCTTCCCGGGCCCACCCTGCACAGGGCACAGCTCCATGCCTCAACTCAGGGTGGGGATGCTTCTTTCCAAGTGCTCCCATCTGCTAAGGCCCCTCTGTCCCTCCCTGCCTGTCCTCTTCTCTTCCCTCTCAATCCCTGTGCAAGCCCACTTCAGGCTCTGGGACAGAGTCACATGTGACTTTGCAGGGAAGTTTACCCTTCCTTTCTCCAGTGTGACTTTTTCCAAGTGCTTTGCCACAAACACCCACCTCGCTCCATGTTAAGAACCCCTGTATCACGATCAATGACAAGTGTGTCCAGTTGGGGTAAGGAGAAGATGGGTTTCCGGTGGTTTGAAGCAGTGAGGGTGAAAGGGAAAGGTCAGCTCTCACCAGTGCCATCTTGGCCTTGAAGACAGGCTGCTCACGGGGGACAAGGCAGCTGGGGTTCACCAGGGGAAGCTCCTCCGTGCCTGAGCAGAGCTGTGTGTTTCTGCCATCCTGTTGGGTTCTCCAGAGAGACAGAACCAAAGGGAATTGTTGTACCCACGCTGTCTCTGACAGACAGATAAAAAGTTAGGTAGTCTGTAGGTAGGCAGGTAGATGGGTTAGGGTTAGGGATGTGTTACAGGAACCGGTTCCTGCAAGTGTGGCAGCTGAGACATTCCATGGCAGGCCAGAGGTTCATTTGGAGTATGCATTTGCATAGAAGGCCCTTCCCAAACCTTGGTGCAGTCTGGGAAGCTTATATTTGTAATCCCAAAGGTGAATTCCAGCCTACACTTCTAGTGCAATCTAGGTGTAAGGACACAACTATATATCCAAGATGGTGGAGAGCCCAAGGTGTCCTGAGTCCAGCTAAGATGATGACTAACCAGAACAAAGGTCCAACTCAAGGCTGAACCCAAGTTTTATTAATTTGCAATGAGGTGAGTGGCTCAGAGACGAGTGACTGAGAGAGTAGCCGGAAGGACACGAGTGCTACAAGCTGGGCTCCGTAGGTGGCCTGAAATCACCCCTGCAGTATGCACAGAGAAGGATGTGCAGACGGAGTCATCTGCATAGCACAATCTGAGGTGATGTCTAATGTTTTGGGGTTGGTGCTTCAGCTCTGATGCATAATTTTTTATGCCCTGGGAAGTCATAGCCTCTTATCTCGAGGCTTAATCCCAGCCAACAGTGTAGAGCATGGGTCTCCCTCCAGCCTGGCTTGCACATGTATTTTGGGAGCTATGGAGCAGGGCAACACTTACCTGTCGTCTTGCTTCAAAGACGATATATCAGCGCTTTGGCTAGACTGATTTGCATTGCATGAAATCAACTGAAGGGACAAGGAGAAGGCCTAGCCAGCTCGGCACACAGCCATACTTGTAAACAGGGCCAGGTTTAACCAAGACGGAGCTATGTGCTCTTCTTTCAGGGAGAGTCATCCAGGTGGTCCTCTGCACATTTGTAGACAGGTAAGCAGTGGGGAGAGAAAGTCCTCCATGCAGAAGAATGGCAGCTAAAGGAACGACCAAGGTGGTGGCCATCAGAAGCACAGATGGTTTAGGGGAGCACTGCAGCCATACCTGATGTGACATGTGTTGGGGAAAAGCATGGGAAGGAACAGATGGCTTAGGATGACCCAGGGGAAGCACGGAGCTTCACAGTGGAGACCACAGTCGGCCAGGTCATCACAAACAGCCAAAGGACATGGCATCGCGGGTCAGTGTCATCCTCACACAGAACACAGGACTTCCATCTGATCTCAAGGGGACAGCAGGGAGGCACAACTGTCAAATCATTCCACCTGTCCTGTCAAGATGCTGGCCTCGCCAAGACAAAAAGAACAGAAGGGGTGCTCAGGATAAAGAAAACTATAGGAACAGGGAACCAAATGCAGTGGGGGATATTTTGAACCAAAATGCCATGAAGAACATCATTAGGACAGTTGGACCACTTTGAGCAGGGGATTTCCATGAGATATTGATATTGCTTCTTGAGCTCATTTTCTGAATTGATAATGAATCTGTGGTTGTGTAAGCCAATGCCCTTGTGCTTAAGAAGATACACGCTGGGATATTTAGGGACCGCTGTGGACTGAGCTGGGCACCCCACATTTATATGTTGCAGCTACACCACCTGAATTCTTGTATTGCTGGTGTTTGAAGGTGGGGCCTTTGGAGGCAATTAGGGTGCGGCGGCGAGGTGTGTGACACTGTAAATGAAGGATGAGGGTTTTATGATCAGGTCCCACTAGCACGAAACAGCTGTGTTCCTTATCACCATGCCAGCTGCTTCCTGGCTCCTCTGAAATAGAGTAGCCCCCTCCAGCTACTTACCTAATACAACCTTCTCCCTCCACTTTGGCCACCGCACAAGTTCCCACTGTGCCTTCTGCACCCCTTCTCCACCCAGCATTCCCTGCCCGCTGGGTATCCCAACGCACGATCCGTGAGGTTCCCACCAGTGCCCCAGCAGCCTCTCTGACAGCCTTGGCTGTGCTCACAGGGTGGGGGAAAGTGGCCCCACTGTGCAGAGACACACTGGGGTCCTTCCCAATCCTTCATAGGATGTCCCCATCACAGGCGCCCCCCAGGGACACAGGTGCCTGGAAGGCACCGTCAAAATTCTCTTTGTCAAAGTTGATTAAAACTCAACCACCTTCTCTGTCCACCAGCAGGATGGTGGTCAGTGATGTGAAACCCCATTTTACTCAGCCGCTGAGTAAACCACAGACTGCCTCCTGATTTACTGTGGGTAATTTTAATGTCCATATCTTGCACTTTGAATAAGTAAACATAACAATATGCCGCATGTTAACTATCGTTATTCTCCTATTGTTATGAAAATGTGTTTTACCTTTTCCCCCTACTAAAATAAAATAAAATAAAAATTTAGTGCAGGTAGATTTTCTTCCAGCCCCCAGCAAGCGACCCCTGTCACATGTGCAGCTTTGGGGAGGCCGGTGGGCGACGCTGGGCTGGGCAGCTGTCCACGCTGGCCACTCACTGCCCGAGAGACAGCCGGCCTGGTATTGTGTTATCAGCGGGCTCATCACATCTCACGGTGGGGCTGGGACACATGATGTCACCCACCCTGTCCTGTAATCCTTCAATCTGTGTTTGCTTACTGATTTATTTCAAATCTCTGCATTTTTTACAGGAATCAGCTGGTGAACTCATACGTCTAAATCTACTTCCCCTCTTATCTTTCACTCTAATAAATCCAGGGTCTCCCTAAATTGCCTTTATTCATGGCTAAAACAGGCCATTTCCCCCTCTTAACAGTAAACAGTGTTTGCTTAGAAATGAAATATTTTCGGCTCTGAATTTCAGCTATTTTCCATCTTCCTGCCCCTAATTGAATGAGCAGACGCATTATCTGCAGCGGTGCACGACGACAAAGTGGGTGCTCACTCCCAAATTGCAGTGATGCCAAATGCATTTTGCTTTGCTGGTCTTCAGGGTTTGCTGATTGTTTCCAGACCCGCCTTTGTCCTGAGAGGCTCCGTGGGTTACCGGTGACTTTTCTCAGTCACCATCTTTTGTTCCCAGGATGGGGAGCTGTGCTGGTGGAACTGGGTGGTCATTTTGACTTTGAGGAAGAACCGGAAGTCACATGGCCCCGGACCCAGCATGTAAGGTGGGCAAGACACGCTATATGTTTTTACAATTCTGCCTTTCTGCTGGATGACACTCAAAGGTGACACTGACTGTGTCTTTTGTCATCCCTTATAGAGACACTCACGAGAGAAGACTTGCAGAACTGCTTCAGAAAGTGCCAGGAGCAATGGGACGAGCATGTTCAAAGCAAAGGAGGAACATTTTGAGAGGAATTAATGGCAACGTGTCCTTTAATACAATAATATTTTTAATTTCAACACTCACCGCTTGATAATTCTCCATGTGTGCAAAAATGAGATGTTTCAATGGCACCAGGAGAGACTGCTATCTCTCTTTGCTCTCATTTTTCCTGGGTTGGGCAGGGGAGGAGCTGTTGCCTGGGCCCAGGTGGGGTGAAGTAGGCCCATGAGATGTCTTTGAGGGGTTCCAGTGCGTTGAGCTGCCACCTGCCCCAGACACAGGTTGATTTTAAGAACGTACCCATTTAAGGGACAGCATCCTGGTATGGTCCCATAAATGGGCCATTCGTGCTGCGATGTGAGTTAGGCTGGAGGAAATTCAGCTGCAGTGAAGGTCCGGGTGAGTGATTCAGTTCTCCTGGAAGACTGGCCAGAATGGAACATCTCTGTCTCAGAACTGCGCATGGTGGTGTCACATCCTGATAAGCCCGTTGTATTTTGAAAACATGGTGAATGAAAAATGCCTTGAATACCCCTAATCTACCGCGCATCAGAGCTGAGCCACATAGTGCACGCGGTGTACCAGTGTCCTCCCCTCGTGATCTCGGGGCCGCCTGGGAACTGTTTCTCTCTGCAGTGGCCCAGGTCTTCGGGGAGTCTTAGATTGCATGCAACTAACAGAGAAGAAAATCAGCGTTCAAAATCGGAAATATTCTCTCTACTGAGTATGCATCACATCTGCACCCCCAGAAGTCCAGGGACATCTCTAATCCATAATGCAAGAGACATGATTGCAAACACATCATGTTTTGTATCATATATGATTATTTCTTCTCCCTCTCTCTTTCTTTCTCCCTCTCTACCACTTCCTCTTTCTTTTGTTTTTCTTTCTTTCCCTTCTTTCCTTTCCTTTCCCTCCCTCCCTCGTCTCTTTTCTTCCTTCCATAGGAATCACATGAAGTTGAACTTTGGAGAACTCTTGTGTTTGCAGAGCACAAGCATAGACATCTAAGAAGAGCCCGAAGCATGGGTGTGTCTCTCAGGGTCCTGGACACTTCTCAGAGTGTGTGGTGCATCGTATGGGGACCCAGGAGGGTGGTTTCAGACGCGAGCTACAAAGTGGTCCCATGCAGGATAAGGGCTAGGGAGAGACCTACTACGATGTAGCCCCCAACCAATTGCTGTGCTGAGCATAGAGGGCTTCAGTGCTACAACCGTGGGGCTCAGTGCCAAAGGGAACAAGGGAAAAAGGCCGAGTGACTTCTGCCTGCATCTTGGTTCCACATCCATCACGTATGTTTTTCAGAATTATTGATTACTCTAAAACTAAATGTGATGGAGGAGTGTCTCGATGGAAGCCCAAATAAGACAAAAGGAGAAAGGTTGGGAGAAGCTTCAAAATATCAATATCTCTCTTCTTGAATCAAAATGGAATTGAAAACTCTGAAAATCACAATCATGAGAGGCACTCTGCTGACTCATCTTTGGGATACATTTCCACCTTTTAAATTTAAATTAAAAAATTTTTTGGAGGCAGAGTCTCTCTCTGTAATTCAGGCTGGCCTTGAACTCACAGCAATCCTGCTTCAGCTTCCTGAGTGCCGGGATTCAGGCCTATACCACCACATCCGGCTGTAAGAATACATTTCCATCCCAGGTGCTGGAGCAAGATAGAATCATCTATTTTTTTTTTTTAAAGAAAATAAATAATTGAGGAAGGATTGCCATGACAAGAGGTGGTAATATCATATGCAACCTGAAATATAGAAAAATTGCGGGGGGGGGGAGCTGGGGATTTAGCTCAGCGGCATAAGCACAAGCAGGCAGTCATGATTTCGATCCCCGGTAACGATTAAAAAAAAAGTGAAAAATGGTATTACAAAAAAGGATTGGATCCGCCGGGGATTTAGCTCAGTGGCATAAGTGTCTGCTTTGCAAGTGCGCAGTCATGAGTTCGATTTCTGGTACAAAAAAAAAAAAAAAAAGGATTGGGTGGCTCAGAAATAAAAACACCTAGACTTTTCTGTTCTGTGGTGTTCTTGATAACTGGGAACTTTAACATTTGAATTTTTTTTTGTCTTTTTGAGGCAGGGTCTCCCTATTCAGTTCAGGCTGGCCTTGAGCTCATTTTGTAGCCCAGGCTGATTTCAGCTCACAACGATCCTCCTGCCTCAACCTCCCGAGTGCTGGGATTATAGTCGTGTGCCACCATGCCCGACTTTGAATTGTTTTTTCCTGTTAGTTTTTCTCACGTTGGCAGGAATTACGTATTTGCAGTTCTGTGTTGTATTTCTTGGAGAACCCTCCTACTGTCCAAGCGCCAGCCCCCCTTGCACCAGGCCTCACCCCCTTTTCAGCATCCCCTCCCCCAGGTCTCTTCTTCCTTGTACCAGGGAGAAATTCCCCCGGGATGTGCCCCTGGATGGCACTGCTCTCTTGGGGGCTGGACCCTCTCTCCTCCTGACCTCTGCCTGTGTGAGTCAGGTCTGACCCTACCTATGGCATCCTTCAGGTGCTGGCACCAGCTTTACACTTGTCACTGACTTCCTATCAGTGGGAGGAAGAGGGGGTGACAGCTACTTATAGAAAACATAGAGTAGGGATGGGGAGCATTTTGCCTGAGGCCCGGCCAATGGGTAGCCTTGCTAAGATATGAAACCAGAGTTCTAGCTTCAGGACCCCCAGAGTCCAGTGCTCTCATATCTCCCCTAGTTATCCATTCTCCTGTGCCCAGGATTGCACCACACTTTGGAAGGTGGTCACAGCGGTCACCCCATTGTACAGATGAGCAAACTGAGTTTCAGCACCCTCAAGGAGTACCATCACGGTGGCATAGCTTATAGGCATCGAGCACTGGTCTGAGTTTTGAACTCAGACCTATGGACTCCTTTCTAGTGACTGATGACCCCAGAAAGGCCGTTCCTGCCAGCCTTTCTTGGTGGAATATTCCAGAATGTTGTCTCCTGGGAAAACTGACTGCTCTGAATGGCTGACAAACCCCTCATCTCCATCACTTTCCTTAAATCTATTTGTGAAAGGTACCACTACGATATGGGAGGACCAGGAAGATCCTTTATCTGCCCTCAGGCAAATCCATTAGGATTAGCAGCCCCTCTGAAGCCCCTCCGAGGGCTGACGTCAGCCTGTTTCTGGTGATTTGTGGAGGGGCAGGGCGATAAGGACTCCTGGCCACTGTTAGCGGTGGCAGAGCCTCCTTCCCCACTGCACCCAGGAATTAGCAGCCTATCTCTCCATTTATCAAAGTCCTCTGGGGAGATGAGGCAATCAGCAAAGAAGCACCACCGTGTCTCCTTCTCCTGTGATGCTCCTGCTTCCTGCCAGCCAGCAGGGACATGCAGCCACTGTGGACCCCAGGATGGGGCAGTCCCCATGGGAAGGACCAGTGGTCTTCGGCCACCCACAGCTCCATTCCCTCCGCTGTCCAGCCTACGTGGTCTGCAGGCCTCTGCCCAGAAGCACTGAGCAGATGGGACTCTCGATACCTGACACGCACAGTCAGGAATGGGGAACCTTTGATAGTAACTCCTGGGCCAGGCCAGGCTGGTAGCAAGGGCAGGTGGCAGCTGCTGCCCTGGGCTCCTCTCCTCTGTTCCTGCACTCATGTGGCGTCCACACTGTCCCACTGAGGAGAGGTCTCTGTCCCTTCCTTGAGCCCCCCATCACTCCATAGGGCGTGTCACAGAAGTGATATTTGGGAAGACAACGTGGCTTCTCTTTGGCCCTCTCTTCTATCATGCTGTGAGGACATAGCTCAACAGCTTCAGCCACAGATTGGAAGTGAGGGAGTCTTTAGGGATGCTGCCCTGGCCTCTGCACCTCCCCAGTGGGGACCCAATGTCTCAGAGCGGATGTTACCCTTACCTGTCAGATCCCAGACCCCCAGACATCACGGTGGGGATAAGTGTGGTGACTGCCTTGATCCACTGTGCTCTCAGCAGTTTGTGACTCAAACAGAATAATCCGCCAGGGGAGGATTAATAGATAACAGGAAATTTGTGCTGGAGGCTTCCTCTGTTTTCAGGTTTGAGTTCTTGTGCAAAGGGACAATGTCAGAGTCACCATCAGAGCCACTGTTATAACCAAGACCCTAACCAGGGAAAGCCCTTGGAGACTTGGCCTTCAGGAGAGAGCAGTTCTCCATGGTTGTGGCCCCCTGGCTTAGTTCAGCTCTCTCCAGGGACACAAAGGCCAAGGGATTGGAACACAGGGGCAGACAGGGCATTTTGGATTTAGGGGACCAGAGTTCATGAGGACAGGGTCGCTCCACCTCAGCAAGAGGCAGCGTTTGTCCAGATCAGTGGTGGCAGTATTTCCTCTCTGGCTTTTTCTGTCTCTGGGGGAAGCTGGTCTTTCCTGGTTCTGGGAGACAGTTGGCAGGAACTACAGCTGCAGGGTTGCGTGTCCCCAGGGCCAGCTTTCTCAGGCACCCTGGCTTGGGTGCCTGAGACTGTGAGGTTGAATTAGCCTGATACCACTTCGAGCCATGGCAGGCACATGGTGAGGTCCATAGTGTTGGCAATGTCACTGTGGCCCTTTCGCCTCTGATGTTGTGACCTCCTTGGTCAGTCCCAGCAGGACAAGGCTGCAGAGGACACAGGTGCTCATGCCTGGGTTTGGAATGGTTTGGAGCCAGTGCCAGGAGACCTCAGACTCCACCAGGGACTTCATGCCCCTGGTCCCCAGCCCAGTTCCAATATCCCCAAGGTTGGGGAGGTGAAAAGATGCTGGCACCAGCTCTATGCACATGGCAGCAGTGATGGATGGTGGCTGGCTGACCCAGTCCCAGGGGCTGCTGTAGAGCCTGGCCTGGCTTGGGGATTGGGTTTCTCAGGAACTAGGGAGAAGCCAACTTCAGCCCATCAGGTGGAGGATCCAACACTGGCCACCATCTTCCCTGTGTGGCCACGGTACAGGCAGAGGCGGGGTGGGACTGTTTGTTCTAGAAGCATTTTCCTGGCTTTCATTGGGCTTATCAAGAAAACATTCTAACGTGAAAACCTGTGTTGTTTATTACAGCAAATGTAAACATAATTAATTAAAATCAATGTACTACAAAAGATTTT